CATGCACATGAGTTGGTGAGCAAAGCTGCATCTCGTTTTTGATGCCGATTTTCTGACTTCTGATAGACCTGAGGTTGTTCAAAACCGGGGCACGACCTCAAGCAAGTATTCGTGAATCTTCAAACACGTGTTTTTTGTGCGCCGCCCGTCCCCATGGTGCGCTCAAGCTGACGAGGCGCTTGTGTCAAGGTGGCTTGGAATGCACATCCCCGTTTACCCTGGGCCGATCACGAAATTCCCAAATCCAAAGCGCTTCATCCCAAGCCTTAAACTTTGGGGTTCTTTAAGCCGTAACCCCCAACTCCAAGCTCTATGCCCTCCTTTCAGGTTCGGGGCTTTTCGCAGGTTTACCTTTTGTTGCAGGGTTCCCAGAGACTCCAATATCCCTTAATTAAGAAATATACCTTAAATTATGGTAGGATCCTTAATATGATTAAAGGTATATTCCCGAATTAAGGAATATTGGAGTCTCTTGGACCTCATCCCTATAGATCCCTTATAAGATCCCTTTAAGGAACCCTTATAGGATCCTTTTAAAAGAACCCTTATAGATCCCGATGTTTTGGGATTTTCAAGTTCCGCTTCAGCGAGCACAGCTCTTGGGCCCCCCTGAGGCGTCCCCGGAGGGTTGGATCTGAAAGCCCCCAAAGCCTTTATCATGGTTACATTATGTAGTATGCTATCTGGTATATTATACAGTACCTTATATAGTATAGGATTATAGTAGATGACAGTCTACCATAGTATGTTGTAGTATATACTTCGCGAATCAAAGCTCGAAGCCTATAGGCCTCACCTCTCGAGCCCAGAACTTCACGAGATTGGCAAACTCTCCCTGCAGGCGCATAGCTTGAGAAGGGTCTTTTGGTCACATCCTTCTCCTTGCTGAACTTACCTCTCAATCCACCCGAAGCTTGCAAGGCTTTTTCCTGTTGCTGCTCAGCTTTAGCACAGAGGGAGTAGGGCGCTCGGATCTCGCTGCAGCCCTTGCCACGATGCCTTCTGCCCGGCGCTTACCGAAGCAGCGCCCCGGGCCCCGGAAGAGCGGCCTTGGCGTGGCTCTGGCGTCTCTGCTCCTGGCTCTGGCGACTTCGAGGGGGCTCTTCGAGGCTTTCGCGACCGGGGCCAGGGCTCCCAGTGCTGGGCGTGCTGGGAGATGGCCCGCGATGCATGCGGAGACCCAGGTAGCGGAGAGACCTGCCACGGAGGTTAAAGCAGCCGAGGTGGAGGAAGAGAATCCACGGAAGCATGGGCTGGCATTAATGCTGGACGAAGGCACACGTAAGAGCCACAGCATGGCGGAGAACACCCAGTTCGTGACGGGCTTCTTCAAAGGCCTCGGGAATCGTGATTCCTTCGCGCAGCTGGTGACGTCGCTCTACTTCATCTACCAGGCCATGGAGGAGTCGTTTCAGGCCTCTGCAGATGCCGGCGTTCGGCATTTAGACTTCGAGGAGCTGCGACGCGTCGCGGCGATCGAGGAGGACCCTTCGCGGTTCTGTAGCAGCTCAATAACCAGACTTGTTTGTTAGCTTCAAAACCGCTGTATACAAATTCCCAAAGCTCCGCTTCTGTTTTCGGAGCCTCAGAATCGCCGTATACATATTTCCAAAGCTCCGCTTTGGTTTTCTTTTTTTCGTCGTAATGATCAGGACCTAGCTTACTTTTACGGCCCCGGCTGGCGTGAGCAGCTTCGACCCTCTCCCGCGGCCGAGCGCTACTGCGAGCGCATTCGCCAGGTTGCGGCCGAGAATCCTCAGCTTCTGATCGCCCATCAGTATACAAGGCGCCGGGGAGGGTTTTGGTTACTAGGGTATAGAGTTTACGGCTTAAGGATCTTGGGATCTGCAAGATGTTTTGTTCCTAAGATATACCAGGCACCGGTTTTGAAGGGCTGAAGGGAAAGAGAGTTTGGGGCTCAAGGATTTCGGGATTCGCAGGGTTCTCGACTTGGGGTTTAGGACTTGTCGCATTTCAGGGGCTTCTCGTCCGCAACGTACCCTAAACCCTACACCCTAAACCTTAAACCTCAAACCCCAAACCCTAAGCCCCAAACCCTAAACTCTAAACGCAAGGTACCTGGGTGACTTGTTCGGCGGGCAGATGATGGGCGGCATGGCTGAGAGTTCCCTGGGCCTGGAAGGCGGCAAGGGCACCTCCTTCTACCGCTTTCCCCAGATTCCAGATACGAATCTGGGTTCATTCAGTTGAAGTTACCTAAGGAAAGCATGTATGTTATCAGGTATGTATATGTATAGGTATAGGTATAGGTATATGTAGAGGTGTAGGTGTAGGTATAGGTATATGTATGCATGGACATCCCCATGACGGTAGCTGAGACGAAGTTCCGGAGCCAAAAATTCCAGGAAAGCCTTCATCACAGAGTGGTACCGCGAGCTCAACAGCTTGCCGCTCAGCTCTGGCGAGAAGGAGGCCATCGTCGAGGAGGCCAACCTAGTCTTCAGGCTCCATGGGGCCAACATAAGAAGCGACTTTCTTCGCTTAAGGATTTTGAGTTAGGACTTAAGCCCAACATAAACAACTGAAGGGAACCCCCATGTAGACCCCTACACCGACCCTGTATTTTCGGATCTTTATTGCAAGGACCTCTGAACCCGAAACCCTACACCCTAAACACCTAAACCCCTAAACCCGCAAACCCCTAAACCCTAAACCGCCCTACGCCCCAACACCCCGAAACCCTACACCCCTAAACCCTAAACCCCAGACCCCTAAACCCCAAACCCCTAAACCCCAAACCCCTAAACCCTAAACCCCCACACCCCTACACCCCCACAACCCCAAACCCCTTGGAGTAAGAAGCCCTCTTCAGGCTCAACATCGACATCCTCGAGGAGCTCGAGGGATCTATAGCCCCTATATAACCCCCAATAATCGTCTCCATAATCCATTCCCCACTACTTGGAGGTTCATGGGACTTAGTAAGTACAGATATAAGTACCCTAATTGGGATTATAAGTACGTTTAAGTGTAGTTACCTTTGTCCCATGATCCTTTAAGTCAGAACCAGACAGAGGAGCTTGAGGGCTCGCCTCTTGCGGCGGCCTGGCAGCTGGTGGCCTCCTTCTTCCGAAGCAAACTGGGCCTGGCGTAAGAGAAGCGGCCTAGGGAATTAGCAATATCATAGTCTTGTGGTCCTTAGATAATTGTAGTACAACAGACTCCAAACCTATTCTAAATTATTACGGCTCCTGTGTTGGGCACTCGCACCAGTAGTGCTTGTTGTGCGAGTTTCTGTGTGTACAGCCCACGCAAATGCCAATGTCGGTCTTGCGAAATACTGCGCAGGACTTTCCTGGTTCTTTGCGTGACGATTTCGCGGGAAATTTTCGGGCGAAGCGGCCCCTGCTTTGCTGCAGCATGCTGTTTCCAGCGATTCTCTTGCTGCAGAGAGTGTTAAGATCTCCTGCTTCGCGCAGCAGCGGCGCAAAATGTCATGGACCCTAGGCCCTAGACCCTAAACCCTAAGCACATGGAGTTTTGAGATCCCCACCCATCCCGAGAGCGGCATAGTTAAAAGCACTAAGTAGTAACGGGCCCATCCAGCTAGCAGTGCACTCAGTACGCTGGCATATCACCCTTTGAGGATTGTGAACTGATGTCGCTGGGTGTTTGTCACAGTTCGTCATTCTGATTTCGTTCCCTGTCGTTGTTATGTATTTCTGTATCGTTTGTATCGGTGGTTCTCCTACAGTACACTCGCTACGTTGAGTCGGATCGCTGGGCTATGTTGAAGGTCTTCTGGGAATGAAGGTACTGCGGGTCTTCATAAAGCAGAAGCCCAAGCCCAACCCATTTAATCCGGTAGATATTGGAACTTGATCCAGACCCTTAGCCGCACTCTCTAGAAGCCCGAAGCCGTGCAAGTTGTTCCTACAGAGCATCTTGGAGTTCGGGTTATTATTAGGGATGATCACGTGGAAATTCGTTCAGATCCAAGGCTCTCTAAGCTTCTGCTGGGCTCTGCAGTTTTCCCAGAGACTCCAATATCCCTTAATTAAGGAATATTCCTTGGATATGGTAGGATCCCTTAGATGATTCAAGGTATATTCCTCAATTAAGGGATATGGAGTCTCTGGGTTCCAGGATGACCGGGGGGTAGCCTATTGGGAAGCCTGCCTCTGGCGCAAGCCTAGCAAAGCTCCGCAGTTCCAGAGCCCTGGAATCCTTATTAAACCTTCAAGGTGAGTCCCGAAGTCCCTAAACCCTTAAACCCTCAACCACTATCGTGTTTTGGCTTCTAGGATGTTATGGTTATCAGCGCCTGTGCCAGGCATCAGCTTCTCCTTGTACTGCGCTGTCACGGCGGCCAGTGATGCTTTGCCCAAAGAACTGAGGCTAAACAAGAATGTTGCTGTGTGCTGCGGTTCCTCGGATGATTTGCGAAGCATGCTGGAAGACCACTCCCCACGCTTCTAGGCGTGAAGTCGCAGATCGTTTTACCACAGCCGCCACTCTCCGCAGCATGTCGGAACTTCGAAGCTCGGCTCGAGGTTGCCACAGATGTCAAGCTCCACCTACATGTCTTTAGTGCCTTCAGGGGCCCAGACTAGGGCGCCCGCCTTTTAGACACAGCTGTGAAAGGCGACGTTGATCAAGCTCAGCCCAGCACAGACCCTTCATAAACCCTAAACCCTAAACCTAAACCCCTAAACCCTAAAACCCTAAACCCCTTCAGTCCGCGTTCCTTTGGATGCACTGCGCCGGGCCGTCGAGGCACGCTTGAGTCCGCCTGAGGCGAGAACGGGCCCACAGCTTGCGTGTTTTGATCTTCAGGGTTTAGGGTTTAGGGTTCAACCCGACGAATTTCCGCAGTTATGTGCTTTCGGATCCAGCTGCTTTACTTACTTGCACAGCACAGTGCTGAAACAGCTAAGTTGGAGTTCGCAGCTGTCCGCTGCTTTCATTTATTCTTCTTTCCACCGGAAATCCTGGACAGCCGAAGCTGCCATTGCTGTTGCCCGAACAGGAGCGAAGCGATGGCTGAAGCCTGCCCCGCTCGCTTGGTAGCAGGAAGGGTCAGTGCTTGGAGTGTTGAGAGCTTGGGCAGCAGGGTGCCAGCTTCGGGCCAGGTGCATGCCTCCCAGGACCTCCCTGATGGCGAGGGTGCTCGGGTCGGAATGTTTTCGGCCAGATTTGATGGGAAGGAGACGGAGCAGCTGTTCCGACGCGTGTACAAACTGCTTAAATCCTGGAACTACCCGGTCCTGATGGTGGATGCAAAAGCGGGGAAGGATTTCGGAGACTACACAGCGATGTATCTTGGGCGTCTTCTTGAGAGCCGCGATGGTGTGATGCTCTCGGTATGCACGTGGCACTATGGAGAGGTCACGAAGTCGAAGTACTCCTCATATGAGGAGCTCAAGTTTGCCTATGGCAACGACATCGAGATCCTCCCGCTTAGGTTGTGCGACATGTGGCCACCGAAGCCCGACTTTGGCCCAAACCATGCTTGCGATAAAGAAGGATTGGCCAACGGGTTCCTCAACATGGCCTTCCCACCAAGTAAGGTCTTTGTGGACTGCCGGGGTAAAGATGAACACTGGATCGCTGCTCAGATTGCCGAAGCGCTGCATCGCCCTGCAGAGCGTGACAAGGCAGGGTATGGTGTACTAACGTATATTTGCAGGTCATCTGGCTTTTGGGTTCAATCCTTCAGGGGCTCTCGCATGCAATCCGGCTCATCTGCAGAATGCTTCAGGTTGCTTTTCTCGTTTGCATACTATCCGTATGCACTTATCCGCGTGAAAGCTTTTCGCCGAACGTCCTTTGCATGCAAATCTCCGAGGCGGACAGTGGAGAAGTCGAAGTCGCAAGGCATCAAGACAAGAAGGCACGAGTGATCCGGAAAGGGGAGGCCAATTAAGCACCGATCTGTTGCGGGTCTTCCGGCCTTTTATTGCAGTCGTTTGTCTAAACTTGCAGCGCCCGGATCCGTGGAAGCCAATTGGGTCCAAAATTCGTAGCTTCATCAGCAGGATGTGATGCTATCAGCAATTTAGGGATAGTTGGCAGCCTCATTAGGTTAGGAATCGAGCCATAAAGTTGCCACAAAGGCAGATAAGAGTTCAGCAGTAGCTGGACCAAGCTGTCCTGTGCCAGGACCCGAACGAAGAGGCCAGGGAACGGCTGCTTGATTTGCTGGAGGATGCAGAAGAGGAAGAGGATGAGGTGAAGCTCAAAATGAAGAACGCGCCCAGCCACAGCAAACGAATTGTCGTCATTGGAGGAAGTGGGGTTGGCAAGAGCAGCTTCTGTGGCATATTGGATGGCACCCTTCGGAAAGGTGAAGACAAGAAGTGGACCTCGAGCTTCAAACTTGGCCACGGTGCCAACTCAGAGACGAACACTCCGGACTTGCGTGTCTGCAATTGGCGAGGCCATAGCGGCGACGGCGAGCTGCCGATCGTCATCATGGACACGCCTGGCATGGAAGACACCAGAGGCCCTGCGAAGGATCTGGAGCACATGGCCAAGATCGCCGAATGGATCAACAGCATCGAGTACATTCACTTATTGCTATTACTCGTGGATTCCTCCGTCCGCATTACCGACAGTCTCCGGCGAATTCTCGAGTTTTTCCAGGAAAGATTCGGGAAGGAGATGTGGCGGCACACCATGGTGGTTGTCAACAAATGGCAGTACGACGAGCGCACCATGGACATGCGTGAGGACGGCGACCTTCCCACGTGCAAGCAGTTTGAGGAGGAGTTCCGCAAAGTGTTGCAGCTGCCAACGCGCCGCGAGGCCAAGGACGGCCATGCCGGGTTGGGTTTGACAGAAGCAGACTGCAACACCATGCTGCGATTTTCCTTCGTCGACACCCTTTACCGCCGTCAGAGTGAAACAGAAAGTGCGGCTATGGAGAATGAGCTGGCTCAAATGCAGCTGACCCTGCGGTGTTTGCCAAACTGGAAGGTGCGGGTCCAAGCCCAGTCACCAGAGCTGAAGCAACTTATGGACGCCGTGCGCTGCACCAACCTTGCCGAGGAGCTGAAACAGGTCTTTGTTGACGTCAAAAAGGTGGGCAAGCTGCCAGAAGATGTGACCGACGAGAAGCTGAAGGCCGTGGAGAAAGAGGTCGAACGGAGGTCCGAGTTTGAGAAGGTACAGCAAGCTCTTGAAGAGGCAGATGCTGCATTGGATCGATTCCAGCACACCGGCAACAAAGCAGATGCGGAGCTCTGTGTGCATAAGGTGGATCTTGCCTTTTCTGTTCCGAATGCAGCAGATGCTCCCAAGGCTACTTCTCTGCAGGCGTACAAGCAAGCCCTCCAAGCTGTGCTTAATGGTAACAGCCCATCGTACCAGGACTTGCCCGAGGCTTCAAGCAAGTTCAAGCAGAAAGCGACTAAGTTGCTGGAAGACGCACAGACATTGCAGCAGACATGGCAAGATTTGGGCGGCGCTTTGACAGTCTGGAATATCAACCCGACCCCGGATGTGATGCGTAAACTTGTGAATTGGGCGATTCCGAAAGGAGTGCAGTCAGAAGCAGCCATGGCGCAAAACCTCTCTGAGAGTGTGTTGAACATTCTCGATGCTGCGGATCGTGTGCACATGAAGAATTTGCAAGACTGGCATGCCTACAAGAACCCGAGTACCAACGCAACCACTGCTGACAAGGTGCAGCTGCTGACAGCACTCTTGAAGAGGTCAGAGGATGCATCGGTGCAGGCCTCCCGACTACAGGATATCAGGGCAGCTTTGCAGTTGGAGAAAGGAGTGGAGGCTGTTGAAGAGGTGCATGCTGCTCTAAATCGTTTCCAACAGACAGGCAGCAAAGCTGATGCAGAGCTCTGCGTGCAGAAGTTTGAGTTGGTCCAATCGAAGTTCCCGGAGTCTGTCGGGATTGCTGATCTGAAGCCGTTCAAGCAAATCCTAGACGCAGCGCTTTCAGGTCACAGCCCATCGTACCAGGACTTTGCCAGCGCTTCCAGCACATTCAAGCAGATGGTGGACAGACTGTTGCGAGATGTACAGCATCGCCAAGTGTTTTCCAAGGTTCTGTCATCCTGGGGCATCAGCCCAACCCCGGATGTGGCGAGTCAGTTTGCCGATTGGGCGGTTCAGAACGGAGTGCAATCAGACGAAGACTTGGCACGCAACATCTCTGACAGTGTTTCGAACATCCTCACTGCTGCAGATCGTTCCCACCTCAAGAACTTGCAAGACTGGCATGCCTACAAGAACCCTGGAGGGAGCAGAACCGCTGCTAAGGCCGTGCAGGTGCTGACAGAGCTTCTAAAGAGGTCAGCAGACGCAGGTGTTGCCGAAGACCGTCTCCAACAGATTAAAGATGCCTTGCAAGATGCCAAGGCAGACGAGGTGGCAGGGACACGTGCATGCCAGGGTTCAGAGAAGTACACGCGACAACCTTCACGAGTCTGTGTGCATGCAGCAGAATGCCGGTAGGAAGACGAGTAGATGTACGAGGTTACTTGTGGGTGTATACACCGCTGTTTGTTCAGCCAGCATGTTCGGTCTAGTGGTAACGTTGAATCGATTGGGAAGTCCAGGTGCGCAGTGCTACGACGCGTCCCCTCATCCTACCGGATGGTATGCCTGACAACATACCTGACGGCCTTGGTTGCCGCGTCGGTATGTTCTGCTGCAGGTTCGATGGGACCGCAGTGGAGCATAGGTTCCGACAAGTATACCAGGTCTTGAAAGACATGAACTACGCAGTGCTAATGGTGGAGGCAGCTGCCGGGCCAGACTACGTAGAAATCAACGAGAGGTACCTGCAACAGATCAAGGAGGGCAACGGAGTCTTGCTCGCCGTGTGCTCTCAGCACTTTGCCGAAGTCACCTCTTCCCCGGCCTCCTCCTACGGGGAGCTCAGGTTTGCGTACGACCATGATGTCGACATACTTCCCTTGAAATGTGATGATTGCTATCCACCCGATCCCCCCTCCGGGCCAGATCACCCATACGATAAGGCAGGAAAGGCCAGAAAGCTCATCGCCCTCGCGATGCCACCAACCAAGGTCTTCCTGGACTGTAGGGATAGGGACGTGAGCTCGATCGCCGCCCAGATCGCAGAAGTGCTCCATCGGCCTCCGTTCCGCGAGGCAGGGCATGATTTCATAAGATGTAATTGCGACCTGAATTCATCAGCAGGTACTGTAGATCAGGCAGTTGTGAGAGATTGTCCTTGTCGCAGAGCGCGCCCAGCTGCAGAGATGCAGCAGTTCTCTGCCACAAGCTCTCCAAATCCTCTCGAAAGCTTCCAAATCGAATCGGAAAACGAGTACATGCAAGAGTTTTCCCTTCGGTACGCCCACTCATTGCCGCACTCATGTTTGGTCCGACGGAAGAAGCACGAAGGATCGTTCGGGGAGTATATACTTATATAATCAAAGGATGCTTGCATTAAAGTATGTATACAGATGTTGTGAAGCTTCATCACGAAACGACGTGCTTTAGCTGAGAAGATGGGCAGGGAACAAGCCCGAACTCGGGTCTTCAAACAAGGAGTTTCAGTATTTCACCCAAGAAGAAGATCGGCAGATCGAGTAGAGTTCATTGTCGATCTCTAACTCGAGGGTTTGAAAGGGCTGAACTCTGTTCTCGACCGTACGTGCCGCCCTCTGGTTGGATGGTTGGGGTAGAAACTCAGTGCGCAGGTGAGCGTGCCGGACCGGACAGGAATGCCACTCCAAGTTCCTGGCATTCCAAATGGCATGGGTGCCCGCACGGCAGTGATCTCGGCCAGATTTGATGGAGGCGAGATGGAGAAGACGTTTCGGGCAGTTCACAAGCTCCTCTGGGAGCTAAATTATACCGTGCATATGGTGACAGCCATGCCCGGGCAGGATTTTGGAGAGATGACTGCGAGGTACCTGCAACAGATCAAAGAGGGCAACGGAGTCTTGCTCGCCGTGTGCACTCACCGTTATGCCGAAGTCACCTCTTCCCCGGCCTCCTCCTACGAGGACCTCAGGTTTGCGTACGACCATGACGTCGACATACTTCCCTTGAAATGTGATGATTGGTATCCACCCGATCCTCCCTGGGGGCGAAATCACCCATACGATAAGGCAGGAAAGGCCAGAAAGCTCATCGCCCTCACGATGCCACCAACCAAGGTCTTCCTGGACTGTAGGGATAGGGACGTGAGCTCGATCGCCGCCCAGATCGCAGAAGTGCTCCATCGGCCTCCGTTCCGCGAGGCAGGGCATGCTTTCATAAGATGTAATTGCGACCTGAATTCATCAGCAGGTACTGTAGATCAGGCAGTTGTGAGAGATTGTCCTTGTCGCAGAGCGCGCCCAGCTGCAGAGATGCAGCAGTTCTCTGCCACAAGCTCTCCAAATCCTCTCGAAAGCTTCCGAATCGAATCGGAAAACGAGTACATGCAAGAGTTTTCCCTTCGGTACGCCCACTCATTGCCGCACTCATGTTTGGTCCGACGGAAGAAGCACGAAGGATCGTTCGGGGAGTATATACTTATATAATCAAAGGATGCTTGCATTAAAGTATGTATACAGATGTTGCGAAGCTTCATCACGAAACGACGTGCTTTAGCTGAGAAGATGGGCAGGGAACAAGCCCGAACTCGGGTCTTCAAACAAGGAGTTTCAGTATTTCACCCAAGAAGAAGATCGGCAGATCGAGTAGAGTTCATTGTCGATCTCTAACTCGAGGGTTTGAAAGGGCTGAACTCTGTTCTCGACCGTACGTGCCGCCCTCTGGTTGGATGGTTGGGGTAGAAACTCAGTGCGCAGGTGAGCGTGCCGGACCGGACAGGAATGCCACTCCAAGTTCCTGGCATTCCAAATGGCATGGGTGCCCGCACGGCAGTGATCTCGGCGAGATTTGATGGAGGCGAGATGGAGAAGACGTTTCGGGCAGTTCACAAGCTCCTCTGGGAGCTAAATTATACCGTGCATATGGTGACAGCCCTGCCCGGGCAGGATTTTGGAGAGATGACTGCGAGGTACCTGCAACAGATCAAAGAGGGCAACGGAGTCTTGCTCGCCGTGTGCACTCACCATTATGCCGAAGTCACCTCTTCCCCGGTCTCCTCCTACGAGGACCTCAGGTTTGCGCACGACGATGATGTCGACATACTTCCCTTGAGATGTGATGATTGCTATCCACCCGATCCTCCCTGGGGGCCAAATCACCCATACGATAAGGCAGGAAAGGCCAGAAAGCTCATCGCCCTCACGATGCCACCAACCAAGGTCTTCCTGGACTGTAGGGGAAGGGACGTGAAGTCGATCGCCGCCCAGATCGCAGAAGTGCTCCATCGGCCTCCGTTCCGCGAGGCAGGGCATGCTTTCATAAGATGCAATTGCGACCTGAATTCATCAGCACGTACTGTAGATCAGGCAGTTGTGAGAGATTGTCCTTGTCGCAGAGCGCGCCCAGCTGCAGAGATGAAGCAGTGTGGGTGGTGTGTAGCCTTACCATCTTTCGTTCGTCCGCAACCACAATCTTGTGGTAGCTCGCCCGAGAAGACCAGAAGATGTATGAGGTTTTGTTCTTCTCTGTACACACACACTTTGTGTTTGCAGTGCGTGTTCCGTCAGGTAGAAGAAGAAGCAATGTGAAGCACAGAGTGGGAAGAGGAAGACACCCACTGCCGCTGCTACAGTACATTTACAGAAGCAGCGAAGCCTAATGACAAAAGGACGTGCACCCTGACTGCCAGGGTGGGCAGAACAGACGCGGGCCGTGAAGCATGGTGAACCGATGCCAGGAGACTGAGCTGCCGCCGATGTTCTAAAACATGACTTTCGCAGACGCATGGTATATAGAGTGCCAGTCTTGCGAGCAACTCCAGTATCGTCTCCACAAAGTGGAGCCGTCCACAGCCGTCTCCACAAAGTAGGGCGCCGCTCTCAATCTGCTTTCCTGTGCGCCTCGTGGCAGCAAAACATCATTTTGGCAACACAGAGGGTTGGTACCCGTTGCGCGAGAGGGCCCAAGCTGATGATGTTCTGCTTGATCCTGTCGTGAGTTGCAGGGTGCAGCCAAGCTTCTTGATTCTCTGTGCAGGGGCTCAAGCTGCCAGGAATTGAAATCTGCCTGCTTGGAGCCAGCTAGCTGCTGAGCTCCAACTACTTCCGTGGTGTCATGTCAGTGGTTCCATGTCCTAGGCATCAGCTTCGCATTGCAGAGAGATGTGTTCGGCAAGCATAGCGAGCTAAGAGTGGCTTGGAATTAATGGATTTCAGCATTCTGCCTCTCAGGGAGCGAACCTCTCCGCGAAGGGGGACACAGGAGCTGCGAGACGAGAAAGCGTACACGCATGCCTACTTTTTTCGTAGATTCTTCACATGAACTAGCAGTGGGATGTCGAAGGCAGTCGAAACCACTTGAATGATGGCTTGGCCCTGTCAGGAGCCCCTTCGGTCTCTATGGCGCCCTTGCAAGAGACTTTGCTCCTGAGCCTCCAGGAAGAAGCTCGAAGTTACTGTTTAGCAAATTTTGTCATGTTGTTTATCTTTGGATTGGGGCTCTCTTTGCCATTTGTCGGCTTGTGGGCCATCAATCCACGGCTCGTTTTAAGGGCTATGGGCTCCTTGATTTTGGGATTCTCGTCTGCCGAAGTTCCAATCCAGGACGCCGCTATTGCCGAGTCGAAGGAACTCGTCAGCATCCGCACAGCCGGTATTGACGAGTCGAAGGAAATCGAACCCGGCAACCGTGAGCAAAGTCGGCAGAGCGCAGACAGCTCCTGGTTTGGGCTCGGGTCTTTATGCACCTGCTCAAGCTGCTCCACCGACCAGGAGGAGACTTTTGCCCCGTCGAAGGACGTCGAACCGAGTTACCACGGGCACATCCGGGATGACGCCGCAAGCTGCTGGATCTCCTTCCCGGGAAAATACGCGTCAGGCCCGGAGAACAGAGGGCATAAAGGCCGATCTTCGGAACTTCGGGCTCCGACCATCGGGGCAGACCCAAAAGCTTACCCTTTGCCTGGAGTCGTGCTTTCCATGCAGCTTGCGTTCGGATCGAAGCCCTGCATTTTAAATTTAGGGGCTGCGCCCAGGTGCGGGCAGCGCGAGCTGTTGTCAGAAACCCGCGGTATATAGATAAGTGCAACGTAGGCCCGAAGTGCGCAACTTGTGGGTGATCGTAGGCTCTCAGCCCCCGTCGGCCCTGCATGTAGCCCGCACCCCCCGTCCGCCGGACCCCGCTGATGCTCATGATGCGCGCCCTTTGGCGGCTTCCGCAACCCACTCAAAAACTTGGGAGTTATGACTTCGCGCCCACGTCGCGCCGCCGGCGCCGGTTGCGGGCGCCCGAGGGCTCATGATGCTCGCCGGCTCGCCTCCTGGGTCGTCCACGGCGGCCCCGAAACCCGCCACACCGCGGGGAATGGCTGCAAAACGCGTGCGCGTTCCGAGACGCCTTCGGGCCAGGCCCCGCGCGGCCCGAGGGAGAAACGAGGGTCCGATGATGCGGGGTCCGGGGCGGGTCGGCGGCACTGTCGGTCGTGGCTTCTGCTTCGCAGACGAAGCTCATTCGTCTGAGCCATAGCTCAGTCCATACAGGGCAGCGAAGCGCTGCCCGATTTAAGAGCCTCCGGCTCAAGCCGCCGACCCCGTGGGCGACAGACCAGAAGCCGAATGCACTTCCTTCGACGACTTCAAGCTCACAAAACCGGGGGAAGAGGCGGAAGCACGCGAGGCTGCGCGACGATCAAGCGAAGTAGGAACAAGGAGCACTTTGGAGCGGAGATGCCAAGGTTGAAGAGGAAGAAGGGGGCAAGGCGGGTGGGGGGGGGAAAGGGGGCGGGGGGGGGGAGGGGGGGGGGGGGGGGGGGGTGGAGAGGGGGGGGAGGGGGGGAGGGGGGGAGGGGAGGGGGGAGGTTAACACCTCCAAGCCCATCGAAACCCATCCAACACGCCGCCAGGGTCGGCGGACCCATAACGAAGCCCTGAAGGCCTACACCCTAAACCCCTAAACCTGTAAATCCTCAAGCCCTAAAGCCCCGGAAACCGAGAGAGCCCCAAGAACTTTCAGCGCGGAGGCTGGGAAGCTCTGGTCAAGGAGCTCCGTGCAGAGCCCCGAAGTGCTTTGAATAGTTTCCAACATCTAGGGTTGAGGGTTTGGGGGTTTGAAGATTTTGCTAGTTACTATAACGGTTACTACAGGGGGAGGGTTGTTCTGCTTGCACCGGAAATCCTAAACCCCAAACCCAAACGGTCAACAGTCGCCTGACCCTCAATGCCAATCTCGAGCCCCCACTCAAACCTCCAGCGCATCAGAGAGCCCATCTTTCAGGAAGCAAGCTTGGAATCCCACTGTGCAGACCACCGCGTCCTGGTGCGTGTACTGAAGAGAAGTATAGTTTCGATAGCTGAGTTTTGCTTGCGGGAACGGGCAGCGGCGAAAAACTTGCAATTACCTCACCAGAAGTTTCAACCCTGTCACAAGTGCATCAATGAGCAGACTCCGCGATGCGATACCCTGTGCCGTAAGCGCCTAAAGCCCCAAACCCTCAGCTGGAAGTCGGACGGATCGGATGGAACCCTCGGCCCGAACCTTCAGATCCTTCGTCGTCAGGAGTTTCACCGCGACTCGGTGGCCTGTGTCTTCCTCTGCTCCCCAGAGGACGGTGCCGACCTCGGGCCAGCGATTTCTACAGCAACGGGCATTCTGCAAGTCTCGGGGTAAGGAATAAGTCAAAGACGCAAAGTGGTCTTAGGGGTATCATGAGTCACGTCATGGCATAGTGAGGCTACCCACCGCTGCGATTTCAGAACGATGCTGCAAAAAATGTCAATGTAGATGGCTGCCGGGAGTTCATTCAAGATGACAGAATCCACTTAACTTGGAAGTCTTGCATTGCCTGGCTTTCCGGGAATTAATGCTCGAGACTGATCTTCGCCATGAGCATCCCCATCCATGCATCTGCGCATCAGGGTCCATGCATGCATCCATCCATGCATCCACCCATGCTTCCATCCTTCCATCAGTCCTTCCGTTTATCGCTCTGTCCGTCACTTCATCGATCCATCCATCCCTCCGCCCATCCATCCATCCATCCATCCATCCATCCATCCATCCAGCCCTCCGTCGTGCATGGACGGATGCTGCACATGCCTGCCTGCCTACCCACCTACCTACCTGCCTACAGTTGCCTGCCTGGCTACCTGGCTGCCTACCTGCCCACCTGGCTTCCTGCCTGCCTGCCATACATGCATACTTACATAGATTGAGACGGGCAGTTGGGCCGTTGTGAACAGGCTTGTTTCGCCAAGCAGTTCTTGCAAGTCTCGGTCAATTCAGAGCATGGGCGTTCGAGCAGAAACAACAATCATCACTTGCATAGCGAGTCCGTGTCCAGGTTTCGCGTGTCGCACCTCGTTCTGATCCTGAGGCCTGGGGAAGCACGCGGATGATCCCGAGAATCCGGGGAAGTGCTACTGTGCAAGGATATATGGCGAGCGAGACTTCAGAGCGTTCGGCTACCTCTCAGTCCTCAAGGCACCTTACACTGATGATAGGATCAAGAAGTACTGGGAGAAAGCCGCTGCAATGAACGCGGTCCCAATCCGTCAAGATGCAACCGATGAAGAGAGAGAAGAAGCCACGAAGAAAGCTGAAGAGCAGTGGGAGAAGATGGGCCGAACAGCCTCCTGGGGATGTGCCTGGTACAAGCGCTGGTTCGATCTCGTCTGCACGGCCGTTGAGAAGAAGCAGCGGCTGAAGGCAGTCTTCTTTCCTCGCCAGGTGGGAATAATGCTTGTGCCGAGTTGGGTGTCCGGCTTTTGTCTCTCCTGTAGCAAATGCCCGAAAGCCCAAATTGGCAACACCTCCTGTGCGAAGCGGATACAACCGAAGGACCGAAGGACAAGTCAAATCGTGTGGAACGTCCCGTGCCCGTCACGGGCCCTAGCGCCCCCTGATCAGGTGGGTGAGGGCGTTCCCAGCATGGAGGAGCTGCCGCAGGTCGACCTTTGGAATGGGGACGCCCAGCTCCGAATTCAGGGGATGTAGGGGTTTGGCGTCTAGGGTTGAGCGCTTAGAGCTGTTTAGAGCTTAAGGCTTAGCGTTTAAGAGGTCTTGTACTGTAATCGAGGTATCAGTTCAACTTATGCTATCTTGCGGGTGTCGGATCTTAGGATTTCGGGCCAAGTGGCAGACTTGGGATTCGGATTGCAGGGGATCCAGCTAAGCGCGCACCGAACAAAGGCAGAAATTCTAAACACTAAAACTCCACGTGACTCATCCAGGAGAAACAGCCGAGGTTGGATGTGGCGGCTCGCAGAAATCCGAGCTTGCAACGGCGAACTTCATGCGGAAACACTTTCCCGGATGGGACTATGAGGAGGTGGATGTCACAAGATTTCTGAAGCATGAGTTTCCACCAGGTGCCCACGTAGATGCGCTGCATGGCTCCAGATGGCGCAAAGGCCTGGTGGTGGACCAGATGGAGAAAGCCACTACAACACAATCCGGTGCTCAGTCGACTGAGTTGTACTGGAAGATCAGGTGTGACGACTCTCGGGACACTCGGTGCAGTGGAAATCAGCATCTTTGTTTCCAAGGGTACAAGGACGGACCCTTAATAAGGACCCCTAGGTATATACCCTTAGTATAGCTATTATATACCCATATATAGCCCCATTACTGTATGGGGTAGGGGTCCCCATTAAGGGTCCCTCCTTTTCCCCTTTGATTGTTCTTGAAAGACCACAGAACCTGTCGAGCCCAGGAGGCAGTTCCACTCTAGGCCCTGAGCCCGAAGCTCCAAAAACCTTGAAGCTGAAACGCTTCTGAATATGGGTTATAAGTATAGTTCCCCTACTTATAACCCTACTTGTAACTACCCATGAACCTTCAAGTAATCAGCGGCCAAGGAGATCTTTGAAGCAAAAGAAGTCCACCATCGCGATCTGGCAGTTGAGACGCTGTTGGACTCGCACGGTGCCAGCCTCAAATCCCCCAGAGTCCAATCGAACATTGGGCTAGGTTAAGCCTGGGTTGACGGTACAGGGTCGTTGAGCCAAAAAGGGTGGGATCAAAGGCATGTTTCCATACTGTAGTTCTGTGGCTGGTGGGACCCCTCTAGTGTTGACAATTAAGGTGACTTCCTCCACGGTGCTTTGCGCCAATGCCTCATGGACATAAAGATATTACAAACCGATGCTTCCCGCCTTCGCACCGGCACCCCAGCGCTGAGTGTCCGCATCGAAATGAACAGCATCCACTCACTTCACGGGCTGAGAGATCGCGTTTTGAGTGGTGCCTTCGATCAGAGTGTCAACGAAGGCTTGGCTGCCATGGCTCCAGAGTCTCGCGTGCCCTTGTCATCCCTTGTTTTCTGTTCAGAGGTTTAGGGCTTAATTAATGGTTTTTATATTTTGATTTAAGGTTTGGGTTTGAGGGTCAGGGGTTTAGGGCGGGTCAATCCGTTTCCCTGCCATAGATTGCATAAGCTCAGGAGTACAAGATCAAGTTTGACAAGAGCCGCTTCTTCGAACTCTACGAGGACAGCCTGCTGGGAGTTAGGATTAAGGGGACCCTTGGGGATAAAGACCCTCTCAATAAGGTCCTTTTTCAGAGAGCCAGAAGTAGGGTTCGGAAGGGGTACCCTTTAAGGGGTCTCCCTCATCATGCTACCCACACGAGGACAGCCTACTGGGGCTGGAGAAGTTGACCTACCATCAGCAGGTGGGCTGAGTATTGATGTGGGAGTTTCCGACAATAGGGGACCCAAATATAATACCCTCAATAGTAGGATCCTGACTATGAGGACCCCAAAACAAGGTACCCCTGATTTTCGGAAACTCCCATGTGGCAAAAACAGGACCCTAAGCCTAAGCCCTAAACTCCAAACCCTAGAGTTCCCAAGCACCTCGGCGAAGCGCGAGCCAGGAAACGCTTACAGAGATGGAGGTTAAGCCACCACAACAAGGAAACCTAAACATTAAAGCCTAAAACCCCTAAAACCCTAAACCCTAAACCCTCAACCCTAAAACCCTAAACCCCTAAACCCTAAACCAGGTGAAGCTGAAAGAGATGGAGGGCCTCAACGACGTCCACCTCTCCGCCCCAGCGGGTGCGGGAAAGACGTTCGTCGCGGTGCAGCATGCCCTTGACCATCTCAGTTCGCACCCGTCGGCTCGAGTCCTCTATGTCGCTCCCTCTGAGAGCCTTGGTCTCCACTTCATCCGGTGGATTTCTATGCGACTTGCATCAAGAACCCGGGCCAGCAACGGCAGCAGCTTCTCGCGTCTCCGGACCTCCTTTTCTTCTGAGGGATCCGGACGAGAAAGCCCGAGCGAATGGTTCCGCAGTACTCTCGTCCAAGGGCCAAATCTAGGAATGCATCCGAACGATCCGGAGCCGACGAAGACGTCGGAGTGCAAGATCCAGGAGCTGCTCACCAGAATGACTCTCTTGCACCACCCCTACAAGAACTTCCAGCTGCCCTCCTTGGACGACGATCGCATAGTTCTGTCGGACGAACCCGACATGCAAGAGTGTGACTTGGTGGTCTTCGACGAATGTCACACAATCTTTTCTCTTCCACCTGCAGCCGCCGGGCCCTTCACAGCAGAATCGGCTTTCATGGTTGTTGCTCACTTGTCCGGCATTGCTTCATGTCTTTTCATCAGAGAACTCTGATCAAAGCATACTAGGAGATGAGTCGGACAATGCTCCCTCGTCTGTCGGCACCGCGCCGGCTGCTTCTTTCAGATGTGTCGCAGTCCGCTTCGGTGAGCCAGAACCTCGGACCGCATGTGGTCTCAGTTGGTGGGAGATCCTACATAATTCATCTTGGGCCCCAAGCTCTAGCCTGAATCTTGATTGTTGAGCCTACATTGCCGAAGAGGAGAGCAGGTGTGTTACCTTCACCAAGTCCTGCGCAAAGCAAAACTCTCCGAGTCGCAGTCAATTTGTGGTTGCCAGCTTCTTCAGAACCGGGACCCTCTATAACCCCAGTTATAACCCTATATGCTTACTAAATCCCATGACCCTAAACCCTAAACCCTACACCCTGGCTACCTCTTTCATTTTCTTTCCTGCTCCACTTACAACCTCAGACCCCACTAGTTTCTCAAAGGGCTTGAGAGCCTAAACCCTAAACCCTAAACCGTTGAGAGCCAAGGAGGTGGTCCGCAGCACGAAACGCATTGTTGCAGGTGCAGCCACGCTTCTTGCCTTGCATGTGGGTGGTTGTCAAAATTAAGATCCCCCTTCTGGGCTCCCTCTTATTATACGGCACCTATGGTTTAGGGTACCCAACAAAGAGACCTTAATTTCGACAACTACCCATATGTCCGTATGTGGCCCCACAAACCCGACGTTGCATGTTGATTTCCGTAGAAGCCTTCAGCAGCCAAGGTTTCAGCTAAGCGCGGAAGGCAGCAACGTCACAGCGTCCCTGGGCTCGGATGGGCCACCCTTGAAGACCTTCTTGTTCGACGCGGAAGCTCGGCTGCTCTTGAACTCCCAGGGGCCGTGGGGTTCTGGAAGGAATTTTACAGTGAAGTATTATAGCTTAGAAGCTGCCCCCATCCTGTAATAGTGACTATAAGGATTATATTAGGGCCCTAATATAGTCCTATTATACCACTATTACAGGGTGGGGGCCCCTTCTAAATTATAGCACAAGAGTGTTACAATAGTATTGTCTCAGCATTGTGGTCGTACAAGTATTCCGACCGCAGAATCATACTGCTCCGAGTCCCCCTTCGCAAAGAGTTAGAGACGGTTCAAGAGCCCAGGTCACAGGGGATCATCAGTTGAAGCGGTACGCGGAGGAGACCATCCAGTCTTTCTGGCACGTGCTGCAGAGCCTCGGCTTTGCAAGCCGATGTGGGTGGTTGTCAATATTCGGGTCCCTTTTTGGGTCCTTATTATAATACGGCAGCTATTATTTAGGGTACCCAAAAAGGGACCATAATTTTGACAACCACGCATGTGTTGCAATCCTTCTGCCGGGGCTGTCTTTACCATAAGGCTCTTTTTTGAATTGGCTGAGCCAAAGTCAATGCTGCGTTTTGGCTGCTCCGCTTGGAGGTTCATGGGTAGTTATAAGTAGGGTTATAAGTAGGGTAACTATACTTATAACTCATATTAGGGGACTTGTAACCCTACTTATAACCACCCATGAACCCTAAACCCTATACCCTTATAGAATCCCTAGAGATCCCTTTAAAGGGACCCTTAAAGAAATCTCCGGATCCAAGAACCTTTCCGGATGTCAGCTTGCATCGGCGCGTGGCGCTTCTCGTCCCGGACTCCGACTTCTGCGACAAGATAAAGCCCGTCTTGCAGAAGAGCCTGCGACTGGGCTTACCTTTGGTTGGTAGGCAATGGAAGAATGGTAGTAATAGAAGTTATACTTGTACCCCATTCCTCCATTCCCTGCTAACCAAAGGTAAGAAGAGCCTGCGGCTGGGCTGCTTTTTCCGGGAGCATCTTCGAGGGCTCAAGGAGGTGTCGAGGTGTGGTGGGTTCGACATGTAACATGTCCCATGGATCCCTCAGAGACAGGCAAGCCTGATCATGGACATACGCTTGATGATATAAATCCTGCATTACCCAGAATAAGGAATATACCATAATTCCCATAGTTTAGGGTCCTTAAGGTAATGCAGGATCTATGTTATCAACAGTATTGGATCACTTAGAAGAATTGCAGTGTGAAGGGCCCTTACGACTATGGTAGCGTCCAGGTCTGAAGGCAAGCTCCCCGCCCAAGAGAAGCTAGACCCTGAACCTTCAACCCTGAAACCTCGTGTAAACCCTAAACCCTGAACCCTAAACCCCTAAACCCCTAAACCCCTAAACCCCTAAACCCCTAAACCCCTAAACCCCTAAACCTTAGAGAGCCCTCGAAGCTGAACCCTAAGCCAAGGAAGGATGAGTTCCCCCAGCGCTCTCTGGAGCTTGTCACCTTCAAAGACTCCCTCTGCTGCTTGCCGGAGCGACTGCTCAGCCGAAGCAAGCAGGCAAAGCCCAGAGACTCCAAAATCCCTTAGTTAAGAAGTATTCCTTAAATTATGGTAGGATCCCTTATATGATTTAAGGAATATTCCTTAATTAAGGGATATTGGAGTCTCTGGGGGGGTTCGCGACTTTGTTCGGCAGACTCCGGCTGTAGGGTTGAGGGTTTTTCGGCTCCTTGGGCTTGGATTTCGGTTCCGGGAAGTGGGCCGTGGGATCTAATTCGGAGGTTTAGGGTTCAGGGTTTAGGGTTTAAGGTTCAGGGTTTAGGGTTCAGGGTTTAGGGTTTAGGGTTTAGGGTTCAGGAGGGTTTAGGCCTCAGGAGCCAGTTTCAGGCTGCATGCTCCGAACCCACCGCAGGCGCAGCAGGAAAGCATCGTACTTGACACGGTGGACAACGCGGATGGCTTGGAGCATCTGGTTGTCGTTTGTGTTGGGCTGGATGCTCCCATCCAGGGCAACATGGTGGACGTACAGACACGTTCGCAGCTTTACAGGGGCCTGACGCGAGCGCAGCTCTTGGCCATCGTGGTCAATGAAAGGGTCCAAGGAGGTTGGCTCGAATTTTTGGGCCTGGTGAAAGTCTCCGAAACCTTTGATCGCGAAGCTCCGGAGAAGGAGGCAGTCTGGAAGATTCAGAAGGCGGCGGCCAAGGTGCATCAAAGAGCCTTGCAGGAGCGTGGCGATGCTCCGAAGCGCAGCGCTGTCACAGAAGCCTCGCAGCCAAAGCTGGACATCATAGCTTTTATGCAGGCAAAAACTGAAGACAGCGCCGTCCCGTTGACTGCTAAACGCGACGACGGTCCCACGCAAGAGACCTCGGCAGCCTTTGGGATGCACATACTGTACTTGGAGGTTCATGGTAGTTATACCGGTCCCTTTAAGGGTCCCTTTAAAGGGATCTATAGGGATTCTATAAGGGTATAAGGTTTAGGGTTCATGGGCAGTTATAAGTAGGGTTATACCCTAATATCGGTTATAAGTATAGTTACTCTGCTTATAACCCTACTTATGACTACCCATGCACCTCGAAGTGGGAAAGCAGGGAGTTGAGTGGAGGGCGCGACCGCTTGAAAGAGTAATCCTGCAACGAGACACGAAAAGTTGTGCAAGTGTTCACATGTCGTGATTGCCGTGGTATCTAACCAGTCACCCTAAACCCTAAATCCTAAACCCTAAACCCTAAAAGAAAGCCACCATGCCATTTCAGGTCTGGGATACCAGTGGCAACACCATGTCAAAGCCGACGAGCTTGCTCTTCAACCCATTTCTCTCCACACATGAGGTACGCCCGTGTACTCTTCGCTCATGCGACCCTAGTCTATCTTGACCAACCCTATCTTTTGAGAAAGTTTGAGTTCAGTCTTGAGTAGTTTGAACTTTCAGTGTCGTACTTGGAGGATCGTGGGACCTGGTACGTAACGTTATGAGTGGTTCTAAGTATAGTTACACCATAGTTTACCATAGCGCTGAGTGCTTTGCAGATTTACGCAGCACAAAACCCTGAACCCTCAACCCTAATATCTTCGAACTTAGCTTTCGTTTGCTCTGGCCGCACATGACAACACCAGCGAAATGCAGCAACCACGTTTCGATCGCGTGAAACTTAGATGCAATTTGATCGCAAACTGTGGTATCATATAGTGTCATAGAGTGCGTACAGTATCATATAGTGTCATACAGTATCGTACAGTATCGTACAGTACGTCGTATCAGACAGTACCAGATAGTGGCATATAGTATCACCTAGTTTCATATTGTACAGTAGACGAATTGGTTGAGCCATTGCGAGGTAAGGCTGGCTGGGGCCAATTCGGTGAATTTGGATCTCACAAGGCGTGTCAATGCCAAGCACCGTTGAGAACCGGGCGGAATTCAGCCCCAGGTGTCCGACTTGCCTTGTTTGCGGGAAATGCAAGCAAACCATGTCTCAGTGTCACTTCTGTGCAGTTCTATGCCTCCATATTCAACGACGGTTTGTGCAGGTTGAGGTCGTGGGATGGCTTAGCAATGTCTCTCATGTCCAAAAAAAGTCTCGATATTCAAAGTCGAGCCTACAACTTAGACTGGGCATCTCCACCTTAGGCTTCGGGCTGCCCAGAGACTCCAATATCCCTTAATTAAGGAATATTCCTGAAATTATGGTAGGATCCCTTATATGAATTAAAGTAAATTCCTTAATTAAGGGATATTGGAGTCTGTGGGTTCCCAGACTCTGAACTTTGCCAACTTATCTAACCACATGTAGCCTCCTTGCACGGCTTGCGGCAAGACAGTTTCAGGCATGCCCAGGCAGCCCTAGTCACATCTGCACTTTTGTGATCATACTGTATCTGCAGAAGTATCCGAACAAACAGAAGACCATAACTGCGTTTCCGTTATCTCTCTAGACAGCCGAGCGTGCTAGTGTCTAGTGGATACGTGGCAGGTGGACATACCAGATGGCACGGGCGCCCGCATGGGGATGTTCTCCATGGTATTTAATGGCCAAGAGACGGAGATGAAATTCCGACTAGTACACAGGCTGCTGACGGAGCGGAACTACACGGTGGTAATGGCGGATCCACAAGCTGGCCGGAATGTTAAAGGAGACTCTGTGAGGTACCTGGGTCAGCTCAAGGAAAACGAAGGAGTTCTGCTCGCCGTGTGCTCGCCAGAGTATGCAGAAGATCAACTCGAAGAAACCAAATATGAGGAGGTCAAGTTCGCATTCGACAACGACCTCGAGATCGTGCCGCTGAGGGTTTCTGACACATACCTGCCGGAGCGCCCAGATCCCCGCTACGCGACCGTCGGGAAAAGCTCGATGGTGGATCTCCTTCGCTCGGCAATCCCCCGATGGGCCGTGGATGTGGATTGTCGAAGACTTGATGAGGGCGAGATCGCTTCCCGCATCGCGAAGAGGCTGTGGGAGCCTTGAGAGACATGTCTGGATTAGTATAGGGTTTAGGGTTGATATTCGGGGTCTGGAAATTCCAGTTTCAGGAGCTTTGGCATAGCATCTGCGGGGTTCATGCAGTGGTGAGTCAGTGGTGAGACAGAGACATCGATCTCTTCTCCTGCTATTGCGGTTCAGGTGTCATCCTGAAACATTCTCTGCAGTCTCGGTTGCATCCCGGTAGCCTGACCATGCTCTGCCCACCTTGAACCAGAAGCTCGCTAAATCGCCCAGGCCCAAAGAGGCCCCTTTGCCTCCGGGATGCCTTTTCACAATCAGTCCGGCTGAGTAGGATAGGACGCTCGTGGCAGGGCTCCTTGTCGTGGATGTGTGCACACGCGGATTTTCAAAGAAAGGGTGTTTGTTTTCGGCACTTTTCCGTGCCCTTCTGCTTGGTGTTGGGAGCTGCCGAGCTTCGGCCGCGCCTATGGTACCATTACTGAGGAAAGCATCCGTAAAGGGATGTCTTGCGATTTGATGCATTGTTGAGGAGTCGCGTGGGAAGCACGGTCCAGGGTGTGACTGTTCACAGGTCAGAGTTTAGGGTTGAGGGTTTAGGGTTTACGGAACCCTAAACCCTAAACAGAAAATTGTGGCCGCCTGCATGGCCTGCCAGGAATCCTGGAAGCCACCGGTGCCCTGCGGCTCCACGGGATTTTAAGCCGAAGCCTTGAACCAAGTGGCAGGCCGGAGTGGAAGCATTTGGAGGGGACAGAAGGACGCTTGAAGAACCGAGGGATATGGTCTAGCTACCTTATTCCCCATACTATCCGCTATACAGCCCGCTGTATACCCTCTGTACCCTATGGGGTATATGGTAGGGTATATGGGGTATCGGGTGTATAGGGTGCATAATAGGATATAGCGTATAGGATGTGCATCACTGGTGCTCTCATGCTTCGGGTGGTCGACCATCTGAATAAGCCAAGGTTGCATGACTTGGGCCTGACTTGGCATGCTACTGACAACCCTGAGACTCCAATATCACTTAGTTAAGAAGTATTCCTTAGGAATAAGAGATATTGGAGTCTCTGGGAAGCGTGCGTCAGTTTGGTGTTGCTGTAGGCCTCGGAAAGCACCCGCTCCTCCGGCACAGGCTCGTGCCAATGCCACAACACGAATGAGCCGCCGCTTACGTTCTTGACGGTCTGTTTTAATCTTTCGCAGGATCATCGTATCCTGTATTATTATGGGAGTGTCCAAAAATTGGGGGTACCTAAATCGGGGTCCTGATAGGAAGGATCCAACTATTTAGGCTTCTCTATCAGGGGCCCCCCATTTTCGGAAACTCCCATATAGAGCAGGAGCCTCTAGAGTCCCTAGAGCAGCCATCTCCACAAAGTGGAGCATCGGCTCTCGTTCCGTTTTCTGTGTGCTCGTAGCACCCTACAGTATAGCGCCCCCGCTGCGGTCACAACGCCCGCCATCTCCGCAACATGCAGCGTTCGCTGGCTTGGTGCGAGCCTTGGGCAAGCTCATCTGAGCTGTGCACAAAGCACCGCTTGGTGGAGTTTAGTCTGCTTTGAATTGCATCATGTTATGGAGAAACAGGTTCGCAGCATGAGGGAAGGGGCGCAGCTGGGCACACAGTTGGTGTGGATTGCAGATGAGCCGCCCTCCAGATCCCCATGCCGCAATTTTAGTGGAGCACACGACGAAACGAATCAGACGCGGGCTTAAGGCTTCTTGGCTTACGTATGCCAGACCTGTTGTGCAAGTGAAGTGTCCTGAGGAAGCAACTCTTCAAAAAAGCTGAGCCGGACATCCCACCCCCGCTAAGCCCTTACCCCTAAACCGTTAAATCCTAAACCCTAAACCATCCTAAACCCCTATATACACCCCAAATCCCTGAACCCTCAACCCAAAAACCCTCTCAAACACCGAAGTGGTCGTCGTTTTGCACACTGGGTGTCTCCCCGGTGCGCGGATCATGGCGCCGGGGCGCTGGTGTCATCGTGGCTCGGACAAAGAGCACCAATGGAGTCCAACTCCCCTCTCCAGAAGATTCCGAAAATAGGGGGTACCTTATTTTGGGGTCCTTGCAATAAGGATCCGACCATTTAGGGTACTATATTACGGTCCCCTGTTTTCGGAAACTCCCAAATCTCGATCCGGAGGGGACTTGATTTTGGAGACCTTTATTTATCTTGAATCTTGACATACATCAGCATCAACACATCTCTAGAGAGCTCTACTACGGACAGTCCACCCTGGGAGCAGTGCGAGAAACACTGCAATGAGAACATTGAGCGAACTACTGGAGTGCTGTACTCTCAGGGTACTATATGAGTACAGGGGCCTTTGCTGATCATCCTGATGCTTGACAGCCATGATACTTTGGACCTAGGACCTAGGATAAAGCCCTAACTCCCCGAAGCCTGAAAAGTCTAACGCCCGTTTTAGCTCCCAGAGATAGTACCGCAGCCTTGCAAGAAGGACCTTAGAGAACTGTCCAGATGAATCCGTAAAATCCCGACAGCCCATTGAGCCCGCACCCTAAGCCCTCTTAAACCCTACCATAGAAGCTTGAATTGCTACCAATACGTTTTCTCAGGGTTCCCGAGTATGATGTTTCCGAGAGCCTTACTCTAATTACCAGTATGAATATACCTTAGCAGCTGCCCCCACCCTGTAGTAGTGGTATAGTAGGAATATAATAGGGCCCTAATATAATCATATAAAATCCTTATAGTCACTATTACAGGGTGGGGGCAGCTTCTTAAAATATACCCCAGAGTCCTTCGAATGATCAGGGCCCGCCCCTTGAGCCCGGAATCCTGGCGGACGCTTGTCCTCTCAGCTCTTTGAATCCGAGGCTGGAGCCAGGTGCGCGCCTGAGGCCTGCGAAGGGCCCAAGACCCCTGAACCCGAAGGTGCCTCAGGAAGCCCTAAAGCCCAAACTAAACCCTATAATCCTGAACCCTAAACCCTAAAGCCCCGCCCAAACCCTAAAGCCGCAAGCCCAGACCCTAAACCTCAAATCCGAAGGAGGCGCCCCTGAACCCGAAACCCTGAACCCTAAACCAAGGCTTGGGGCACCCAAAGTAGGCTTAGGGTGTGGGTTTGCCAGTGGCTTTAAGAAGGGGGGGGGGCCCAAGAGGAGGTTTCTCGGGAGGCTCCGAGGCCCAAACCCTACACTCTAAAACCCTAAAACCCTACACCCTACATCCTAAAACCCTAAACCCTAAAACCCTAAAGCCCTAAACCCTAAAACCCTAAAGCCCTACACCCTAAAACCCTAAAACCCTAAAGCCCTAAAGCCCTAACACCCGTGGGGCCAGCTTTGAAAGCTCCGGGCTTCGCCCTCCGCCTGTGGAGGCCTTCGGGGGCAGGGGCCCATGTCGGCTTTGCGAGAGACCCTGCTTTTGAGCCTCAAGGAAGAAACTCGACCTGCTCCGTTTATCAAGGCTTTTAGGGCCTTTAGGGTTTTAGGGTTTAGGGTTTCGGGCTTTAAGGGTTTAGGGTTTAGGGGTTTTAGGTTTAAGGCTTTTGTTATGTGAGACGTTTTGTTTGTTTTTTTTGTGTTGCAGTTCTCCGGGTCTTTTGTGGCCTTTGGGGCCTTTGGGGCCTGGGAGCCTTTCGGCTTTGGGCCGTGCCTTCCAAGCCTGCTAATACAGGGGCCTCCGTAATTACCTAAATAAAGTTCCGTTTAAAGGGGTCTAGAAGGGGAAGTTTTGGGGGTGTAGTATAGGGGCCTCAACAATTACCTATACTATTTTGGGGGTTCCTTAATGTAAGTATAGTGTCATGCGCCCCAAAACGCTAGTCTGATTATTAAGGCCTCTACCATTAGGGGTTTGGTGTCAAGGTTTCCGCCTGTAATTCCTTTACTACTATTCCTTTGGGTATCCTGGTGATAACTATACGACAATGTAACCCAAAAGCTATTGAACCTCAACTATAAAGGAAACCCTGAACCCGAAACCATAAACCCTACCGAAAGAGACCAGGAAGCGGCGATTGCCGAGTCGACGGAAATCGACCCCAGCTACCATGGACACATCCGGGACGAGGCCAAAACCTGCAAATCCTACGGTGCAGGGTCTAGGGTTTACCCAAAGCCCTAAAGCCCTAAAGCCCTGAGGCCCTAAACCCTAAACCCTGAAGCCCCAAACCCTGAAGCCCTAAACCAAGACAGGCCAAAACCTGCTGGATCTCCTTCCCGGGGAAGTATGCAGCAGGCCGGAGCGGTCGGGCTTCGGCACATTTCGGTCGGGAGACACCGTTCCGGTTTAAGGTTTAGGGTATGTAGGGTTTAGGGTTTAGGGTTTTGGGCTTTGGGTTTTAATGAAAGAGGTGCCAACCCGTATCCGTGAACTAAATTGACCCCTAAACCCTGAACCCGAAACCCCAAATAAACTGCCAGAACCGCCCACCGCCCAGCCTGCAAAGCCTTGTAACACCCTCAACCGGAGCCTTCGCAGGCCCTTCTGTATCCCAAGTCCCTGCTTGAGCCGAGCTACTGTTGATGATGCAAATCCTGCATTACCCATAATAAGGAAGATGCCATTATTCCCATAGTTTAGGATCCTTAAGGTAATGCAAGATTTCTAACATCAACCGTAGTAGGATTTAGGATCCTTAAGGTAATGCAGGATTTCTAACATCAGCCGAGTAGGATTTAGGATCCTTAAGGTAATCCAGGATTTCTAACATCAGCCGAGTAGGATTTAGGATCCTTAAGGTAATCCAGGATTTCTAACATCAGCCGAGTAGGATTTAGGATCCTTAAGGTAATCCAGGATTTCTAACATCAGCCGAGTAGGATTTAGGATCCTTAAGGTAATCCAGGATTTCTAACATCAGCCGAGTAGGATTTAGGATCCTTAAGGTAATCCAGGATTTCTAACATCAGCCGAGTAGGATTTAGGATCCTTAAGGTAATCCAGGATTTCTAACATCAGCCGAGTAGGATTTAGGATCCTTAAGGTAATCCAGGATTTCTAACATCAGCCGAGTAGGATTTAGGATCCTTAAGGTAATCCAGGATTTCTAACATCAGCCGAGTAGGATTTAGGATCCTTAAGGTAATCCAGGATTTCTAACATCAGCCGAGTAGGATTTAGGATCCTTAAGGTAATCCAGGATTTCTAACATCAGCCGAGTAGGATTTAGGATCCTTAAGGTAATCCAGGATTTCTAACATCAGCCGAGTAGGATTTAGGATCCTTAAGGTAATCCAGGATTTCTAACATCAGCCATAGTAGGAGTTTAACGAAGCCTTCAGCCCAGAGGTTGGGAAGCTCTGGTGAAGGAGCTCCGCACAGAGCCCTGCCGTGCTGTCCGACGGATTTGGGCGGTTTAGGGTTTAGGCTTTAGGGTTTAGGGGTTTAGGGTTTAGGGGTTTAGGGGTTTAGGGTTTAGGGGTTTAGGGGTTCAAGGTTTCTGCTTTGACCGGCAATACTATTGATGGACAAATAAGGACTCTAAACTATGGGGACTATGGTATATTCCTTATCAAGGGTAATGCAGGTTTTATATCATTAATGGTAGTAGCAATAAACAGAAAAGTGATAACAAAAGCGACCCAAGGCCATCCGGCAACACCGTTGTACAGACTGCGGCGGGTTTCAAGCGTGTTGAGGGCTCCTCGATCCTCAGCACTGGCATCGCCCCAAATCCCAATTTCGAACTCCTCATGGGAAGTCCCTGGTTTCCCTTTCAAGGGCCGGGACGCTTTAAGAACCCTACTCAAACTTGCTTCAGTTGTACTTTGAAGGGCAGGGGCAGTCTTGAGCGACGCCCTGAACACTAGCCCCACCTAAAAATAGAAGCCTACGAAACTAATCCTAAGGTGCCTTTCATAATCATACTCTCGAGGACCCACAAAACCCTGTTCTAACTATTACGGCCCTATTGCCTTGGGCCTCCAACCAAAAAGCCTTTTTTCTAATTCCCTCTATGATTATGGTATAATTTATACCATAATCATAGGGGGGCTCTATGATCATGGTATAATTTATACCATAATCATAGGGGGTCTCTATGATTATGGTATAATACATCCCAAAGCCAACTCCCATTGTCTAAAATCCTTTCCGGCAGGAGTTTCACCTTGATTCCGTGGCCTGTGTCTTCCTCTGCTCTCCAGCGGACGGCGCCGACCTTACGTATAAGCTGGCAACATGCACACTTTAGTAAGAGCAGCAGGGTGACGGGCCTGAAAAGCTCGCCCTAGAAGCTCAGTGGCAACATCTTTGCATATGCAAAAGTATATCTGTCGAATATATAATATATCTGTATACCCGAGTAAACAGATAGGCATAGAGGTGCATAAGCATGAACAAATGTACATGAATCCGTACAATCATGCATGCATGTATGCTTGCATACATGCAGTACTACACACCTTATGTGCATTATCAGCTCTGAAGGTACCTCCATGCCTACCTACTTGCCTAGATTCCTGCCTGCCTGCCTGCCTGCAACTGCCTGCCTCCCTGCCATCAGAAATTAGGATGCGGAAGGGCGTCGCGGCTGTGGTGACTACAGTGCTCGGCAACGGACCTGGAACGCAAGACAGCGATCGCGACCTAACAACGAACCGAGCACGAGTAGACAAGCTTGGAAACACTGCTTTACTGCTCAGAGATATGGGAGTTTCCGAAAACTAGGGGTACCTTATTTCGGGGTCCTGAAAATAAGGATCCTACTATTTAGGGTACTATATTAGGGTCCCCTATTTTCGGAAACTCCCATGTGTTGTCTAGCGAATGAAGACAAACGTCTGCACGTGTCTGGACTTCTGTCCACAGCTCGTTCTGATCCCGAGGCCTGGGGAAGCACGCGGATGATCCCCAGAATCCGGGGAAGTGCTACTGTGCAAGGATATATGGCGAGCGCGACTTTAGGGCCTTCGGCTACCTCTCAGTCCTCAATGCACCTTACACAGACGACAGAATAAAGAAGCACTGGGAGAAGGCCGCTGCCATGAACGCGGTCCCCATCCGTCAAGATGCAACCGATGAAGAGAAGGAAGACGCTACGAAGAGAGCTGAAGAGCAGTGGGAGAAGATGGGCCGCACGGCCTCCTGGGGATGTGCCTGGTACAAGCGCTGGTTCGATCTCGTCTGCACGGCCGTTGAGAAGAAGCAGCGGCTGAAGGCAGTCTTCTTTCCTCGTCAGGTGGGAGCAGCACGACACCCTGTACAGCGCAGCTGCCACTCCGAATCAGTCTTCCCTCAACAGCATGCGGTCTTGTAGGCCTCTGCTCATCCACCCAATCACCCAGAGACTCCAATATCCCTTAATCAGGGAATATTCCTTAAAGTATGGTAGGATCCCTTAATATGGATTTAAGGTATAATTCCCTAATGAAGGAGATATTGGAGTCTCTGGGCACCCCAAAACAGGTGGGTTACGGCATTCCGAGCATGGAGGACCTCTCCGACCGCGAGGTGGACCTCTGGGACGGGGATCCCCGGCCCGACTCGGGGGGGTTACACGCACTTTGCGCGACGTACGGGTTCACTGTTTAGGTTTCATTTCTAGGGCAGTATAAAAAGAGCACTGCCATCTATTCTAAACGTAGCAGTAGTAGTAGTAGTAGTAGTAGTAGTAGTAGTAGTAGTAGTAGTAGTAGTAGTAGTAGTAGTAGTAGTAGTAGTACCCAGGAACCTAGAGTTCGTTCGGACTTGGGAGCATTTCCGAGCCCCTGGCGCTAAGTGGCTGAAGCGTTTGGATTCGGATCTAGAGCTTCTCTTGGGCTCTGCTACTTTTGGATTCCAAGGTTGGGGTTCAGGGTTTAGGGTGTAGGGCTTTAGGGTTTAGGGTGTAGGGATTTAGGGTTTAGGGCTTTAGGGCTTTAGGCTTTAGGGTTTAGGGTGTAGGGCTTTAGGGTTTAGGGCTTTAGGGCTTTAGGCTTTAGGGTTTAGGGTGTAGGGCTTTAGGGTTTAGGGTTTAGGGCTTCAGGGTGTAGGGCCGTAAACCGCAAGCCCTGAAATAGCACCCTGACTTAGGGCAGCGACATGAGGTGACCATGCAAGGTGGAAGTTAAGGGTTTTAGGCGGTTTAGGGGTTTCAGGGTTTAGGGTTTGGAAGATACCTGATGATGAAGCAGGGACGAGCCAGGGTAGTGTTGCTAAGCAAGAAGCTGCACTGAACCCTTCTGTGGCACACGCCTGCATGCCCCCGGAACACCGAGGTTGGATGTGGTGGCTCGCAGAAATCCGAGCTGGCAACGGCGAACCTCATGCAGAAGCAAAGTCCGGGATGGGATTATGAGAAGGTAGATGTCACAGCATTTCTCAAGGATCAGTTTCCGCCGGGTGCCCAAGTGGATGCTCTGCATGAGACCGAAGCTGATGTCAGATGGCGCAAGGGCATCGTGGTGAAGCAGATGGAAAAAGTGACAAAAACCGAGTCCGGTGACGAGTCCACGGAGTTTTTCTGGCAGATCAAATCTGACGACGACTCTGGGGACCCTCGGATGCCTTGGAAGTAAGTTCTGTCGGCTATTGTACTAGTAGCGGAAGGGTCGGCCAGAAGAGTTGCGGTGGTCCCGAAAACCCTAAACTCCGTAAACTCCCTAAACCCTAAACCCCAAACTCCCTAAACCCTAAACCCTCCTAAACTCCCTAAACTCCCTAAACTCCCTAAACTTCCTAAACTTCCTAAACTCCCTAAACCCTAAACCCTAGACTCCCTAAACTCCCTAAACTCCCTAAACCCTAAACCCTAAACTCCCAAACCCTAAACCCTCCTAAACCCTAAACCCTCCTAAACCCTAAACTCCCTAAAAGCCCTAATCCGAGGAGATGTTTGAGGCCAGCCAAGTCCGACTCCTCAACGTGGCGGTTGAGCAGCTGCTGCACCGTTGGGGCGGTCGGCCTGAGATGATGGGGTTTAGGGGGTTTATAGGGTGTAGAGGGTTTAGGGTTTATAGGGTGTTTAGGGCCTTTAGGGTTTAGGGTTTATAGGGTTTATAGGGTTTATAGGGTGTATAGGGTTTAGGGTTTATAGGGTTTATAGGGTTTATAGGGTTTATAGGGTTTATAGGGTTTATCATTTCTATCTGCTACTATCACGAACCCCGCTTCCAGAACAGCAAATCCCGCAAGACCCTGAACCCTGAACCGTACACCAGGGGCCTTAACAATTACCTACACTATTTTGGGGCTTCCTCGTTATAACTGTAATTAAAGTTTGGTATAATGGACCCCAAATCCCATTCTAATTATTAAGGCCCCTGTAACAGTATATTACCGTAACTCCACGACACCTCGGCACAGCTCCTCGAAATGCCTCGCGCGCGCCATCCCCACTGTCTCAAGCCCACATCTGGCGTGGCCCGAATGATTGCTGATGCTGTTTAGGGTTTGGGGTTTAGGGTTTAGGGGTGTAGGGTTCAGGGTTTGGGGGCTTCCCTAAACCCTAAATCTGCACGCTTCGTCCGTTGTCATCTCAGTATAGTATCCTGGCTGTTTACTGAAAGTCACGCGTTGATCCTTGGGTGGGGCTATGCCACTTGTCCATTGTGCACAACTTCCAGGTTCGAGATGCCTTTTGCATCCTTTCGCATCGACTCCTACTGCTCCTAAAGATGGGCTCCCAACTTAACTGGACTCTATACATCTCCGCCCTGGAACCGGTTCTGTCCAGCGCAGCAGGGGTCCATTCAGCCCCATGCTGACTAAGGGGACGTCCTGGAGCCTGCCTTGCGCCGATGCCTGGTGGATATGGAGCTGCGCCGTCCCTCCGCCTGCCGCCTCCGCAGCGGCACCCCGGCGCTGAGCATCGGCATTCAAATTTCGAACGTCGAGGCGCTTCTTTCACTGAGAGATCGCGTCTTGAGCGGCGACTTCGATCGGAGCGTCAACGAAGGCCTCGCCAGCGGGGCTCCAGAGCCTTTGATTTTCCATGGATCCATTGTTTCACGTTGTGCGGCTTGGGTTTCTCCTCGTCGTTAACCCTAACTTACCTAAACCCCAGACCCCAGGCCCCAGACCCCTAAACTCCTAACTTAACCCTAAACCCTCAACTCCTAACTTAACCTAAGCCCTAAACCCCTAAACCCCTAAGCTCCTAACTTAACCCTAAACCCGAATAGAAGATTCCTGCCCTACGGACAGCCGGAGCTCAGGAGTTCAAGGTGAAGTTCGACAGGAGCCGGCTCTTCGAGCTCTACGAGGATACTGGGCTCTTGCTAAGGCGGTTTAATTTAAGTTACCATTATATACGGATCTATAGCATATACTAGGTGGTGGTGGTGGTGGTGGTGGTGGTGGTGGTGGTGGTGGTGGTGGTGGTGGTGGTTCGTTTTCGTTTTACACGCCGCTAAGGAGGTCCTAGCTGTGCGACAGGATAGATAGGTCAGGCTTTAAGCCCGGTCGCATAGCGACGCATCAAAGGTTGATGCACCATCCTGGGAAGCAGAGCTCAATGCCCCGCCCCGAAGGGCCCGTTAAGCATTGAGGGGAGAGAGCATTCCGAAATGCAAGATGCGAAATTGTACATACGATTGCACGTGTTTACAGAGACAAAACACCTTACGGCTCATACAGAAGTGAATGATGCAGACTCACGGCCGGTCTACGGCAAGCCTCGCTCAGTCAGTACTCACATCCTGGTGCCAAGTGTATCTCAGTTCGCCGCCCGTACCAGCACTGTGTGCCGAGTTTAGCCTCACCCGGGTTTCCTTATTATAGTAACTAGTTACCATAATGGGGATTTATAGCAAATAATAGGGTCTCCTTATTATGGTAACTTAACTTAACTCCTTTGACAAGAGCCCAGGATAGCCTCCTGGGGCTAAAGGAGTTGACCGAGCATCAGCAGGAGCGCACGGGCAGTGTGGATTCCCATTTCGCAACCCCCTTCTGTGATCATGAGTAGGATCCTGCTAACCTCCTACGAATCAGGCCGTGACAAGAAAAGGCTTAACGACATCAGGGTTTGCATCATGGCTGAATCCGGAAGCAACTACTGTAGCACAAGTTAGTTCCCAGACAGCTCGGTGAAGCACGATTCAGGTGAAGCTGAAAGAGATGGAGGTTAAGTTACCGCAATAAGGAAACTTAAGCCCTAAAACCCTAAACCCTAAACCGCTAAACCCTAAACCCTGAACCAGGTGAAGCTGAAAGAGATGGAGGGCCTCGGTGATGTCCATCTTTCTGCCCCAGCGGGTGCCGGGAAGACCTTCGTTGCGGTGCAGCACGTCCTCGAGCATCTCAACACCCATCCCTCAGCCCGTCTCTGGGTTCTTGTTAAGAAGCTTGTTTTAAGTTACCATAATAGGGATCTATAGTAAATAGTATGGTTTCCTGATTTGGTAACTTAAATATTAAATCCCTTAACTTTTTTTATGTACCATGATAGGGATCTATAGCAAATAACATGGTTTCCTTCTTGTGGTAACTTAAATTAGACACCTTAACTCTAAACCCTCATAGAACCCTTAAAGATCCCTTAAAGGAACCCTTATTAATAGGGATCTAGCGCAAATGGCATGGTTTCCTGATCATGGTAACTGGTTACCATATGGGAACGCTAATATAGTACCCTAAATAGTAGGACCCTTATTAGAAGGACTCCTAATTTTCGGAAACTCCCTTATGGTTTCCTTCTTATTATGGTAACTTGAACGAGCCCTAAACCCCTAAACCCTAAACCCTAAACTCTTAACAGAACCCTAAACCCTTCCCCTATTTTCGGAAACTCCCATTAAGGCCCCTTAGCCCTAAACCCTAAACCCTAAACTGAACCCTAAACCTTAAACCCTGAACCCTAAACCTTAAACCCTTAACCCTGAACCCTAAACCTTAAACCCTAAACCCTAAACTGAACCCTAAACCTTAAACCCTAAACCTTAAACCCTTAACCCTAAACCTTAAACCTTAAACCTTAAACCCTAAACCGAACCCAGGTCTGCTTTACGTCGCTCCCTCCGAGAGCCTCGGCCTCCACTTCCTTCGCTGGCTCTCTGTGCGACTTGCCTCGCGAACCTCGGCGCACAGACACCAATTATAGTGTAGTATAGTATAGTATAGTATAATAAATATAGTATGATATAGTATGATAGACACCAAATATAGTGCTGCTTCTGGGCTCTTGTTAAGGACTAAACAGAGGTTACCACAATAATAGGGATCTATAAAGGCTCGATTAAGGGTTCTATAAGGGTTCTTGTTACCCAGAGACTCCAATATCCCTTAATTAGGAATATTCCTTAAAGTATGGTAGGATCCCTTATATGATTTAAGGTATATTCCCTAATTAAGGACTATTGGAGTCTCTGGGTAGTATAGTATAGTATAGTGTTATATAGTATAGTACAGTAAAATGTAGCATGGTATAGTGTAATATAGTACAACATAGTATAGTAAAGTATAGCATAATATAGCATAGTATAGTGCTATATAATATAGTATAGTATAGTATAAAGTAGAGCATGGTATAGTGTAATGCAATATAATATAGTATAATTTAGCATAATTAGATTAGTGTAGTACAAAAACAATGACAACGACAGAAAGGTTCCTATAGGTTCCTCAATGTGGAGGTTTTCCTGAGTCGTGGAAGACAGCCTAGGAAAGAATCACAGCGAGCCGGCGCTAGTGGAAAGCAGGATCAAGCAGATACTTTCCAGAATCACGCTGCTGCACAGCCCTTACAAACACTTTCAACTGCCCTCTTTGGAGGGTGATCGCATACTCCGACGTGTGGCCGGACCTGACGCAGAAAAGTGTGACATGGTGGTCTACGATGAAAGCCACCACATCTTCTGTCTTCCGCCTGAAGTCGCCTGGCCATCCACAGGAGTACCAATTGTTGTCTTCGCAATTTGTTTTGTGTGGATTTATCGCTTCACTAGAAGATTGCCGGTCAAGCCACGAAGCACCATGCTACACCATGGTGTCGGGATGCGTGCCACGCTTAGGAAATGAGCTCGACACTACTCCCAAGCCTATCGGCAAAGCGCCGGCTGCTTCTGTCAGATGAGTCGCAGTCCGCTTCGGTGAGCCAGACCCTCGGACTGTGTCAAGATCATTCAAGAGCCCTAAACCTTCAACCCTGAAAGCCCTGAGCCAGAAACCGTCGCATATGGTAAACAGAGGTGAAGAGGTTTATGTCTAGAAAAGGGAAGATCCCGGGAGCCACATGAGCCCTGATCCCCGAAAGAAGTGAGACATGCCCAGAGACTCCAATATCCGTTAATTAAGGAATATTACTTAAATTATGGTGGGATCCCTTATATGACTTAAGGTACATTCCCTAATTAAGGGATATTGGAGTCTCTGGGTGATAAGTGGTGGATTCCACCACCACTGCCACCACCGAGCCAAGGACCTATCCAGACATGGCCAGGGTGAAACTGTCGGAGGTGGTTCGCAGCACTAAACGCATTGTTGCCGGTGCAGCCACGTTCCCTGCCTCTATATGTACTGTACTTCTAATCGGTCTGTTTTGTGGAAAGAGCTCGCAAGATCAGACAGTGCTTATTGTTTTTCAGTTGCTGCCGCAAGGTTTCAGCTGAACACGCAGCGAGATACCGCAGTGAGTTCCCTGGGCTCGGACGGACCGCCATTAAAGACCTTCCTCTTCGACCCAGCAGCTAGGCTGCTCTTGCGACATCTTGCAGCTTTGTGTGGTGGGAGCCAATAAGCCCAGTCATGATACGTCCGGTGTATGGGTAGACGGTTTCTATGGCCACCAAGGTAGGACAGGACCTGTTCAAGGTGTACGCGGAGCATATCATAAAGGCGCTCTGGCATGTTGCAAAGAATCTCGGCTTTCAAATTCAGTATTTTTTTTCAAGCTTTTGTGGTCCCGCATTCTCGACTATGTTTTCTTGTAGGGCTACTCTAGCTCCAAGGACGTTCCCTGACGTCAGCTTGCATGGGCGCGTCGCCATGCTCGTTCCAAACTCCGTCATCTTAGACAAGATAAAGCATGTCTTGCAGAAAGACCTGCAACTGGGCTGCTCTCAGGAAGCATTGCCATCTATTTGTATGTGGGCTCAGGGCTTAAGGGCTTGGTCTTTGCGAAGGGCATAGTTCATATCGTCGCGACCCCACAAAGTTAGATCAGCTGTGAAGCATTGTTTTTTTCGGAAGACAACCTGTATCCCAGCCTTGTTTTAACTCAGTACGCCCTGAGACCTTTCATGCGGCTTCATTCCAGCTCCGCCGAATATGATATAGGTATGTGTATTTATATATATATATGCACAAATTGTATGTTCGTCTGTCTGTTGATCTATCTATCTATCTATCTATTCATCTATCTATCTATCTATGTATACAGGTATACATTCGCTGTCGCTTTCTGGGCAATGAGTTCGGGTCGTACGCAGCCGTTGGGATGCACCTAATTGCATTCAAAAGCCTGGCGCAGAAATCTGGCTGAGGCATGTAAACCGTGCCAGTATGCACTCAAGCATGTCAGAGCGAGTAGAGTGAGATGTAACCGACCAGCCCTTTGGACCGAAAAGTCGTCTCACCTATGACCCGCCAAACACAAAGCGGGATGATTCAACTCCCGAAAGTCAAAACCAAAACAAGCAAACCAGCAGCTGTACGAAAACTCTGAGTAGTTCCTCCTGGGGCCAGGCAATCATCAGAGCAACACTACCCCTTACAAGGTGCAGGATCGGCCTCAAGGAGTCAGTCCCTGCACGAATCTACCAATAACTCAAACAAAGCTTTGCGCCTATTCCTCCGGGGGCGGGGGGAGGCAAACAGCAAAGCTACACCCCACACGATTATCAAATGAACCGTCCCCGCTCAAGACATACATGCATGGACAGTGACAGCGTATATACAAGCACGCATGCCGAGCACATATAACGCATCAAGCAAGTAAGATCTTAGCGAAAGCTACTAGATTGCTGGCATCCACCGTGTCATCGATCTTCAGCTGCTGCAAGAGCATAGACCCGGCCTGGTACAGGAAGGCACCGATGGAGCCGACGGCTACGACACTGCCGCACTCTTCGTCTAACCTTGCCGAACGTGCCACTGGCCTCAACGTCCAAGGTGACCGTCGTACCCGTCAAGGTCTCGACAAAAATCTGCACGCCGCCTCGCAAACACAACGCCAAGTGGAGGGTCGATTCATTCTGAATGTTGTAATCCGGGGGAGTACGGCCATCCTCTAACTCCGATTGCTTGCCAGCAAGGATCAGGTGCTGCTGGTCGGGCGGGGTGCCTTCCTTATCCTGGAACGTAGCCTTGACATTGTCGAACATGCCACCGCCGTACCCGTCAAGGTCTCGACAAAAATCTGCACGCCGCCTCGCAAACACAGCGCGAAGTGGAGGGTCGATTCATTCTGGATGTTGTAATCCGGGGGAGTACGGCCATCCTCTAACTCCGACTGCTTGCCAGCAAGGATCAGGTGCTGCTGGTGGGGCGGGGTGCTTTCCTTATCCTGGAACGTAGCCTGACATTGTTGAACGTGCTACTGGCCTCAACGTCCAACTTAATCGTCTTGCCTGTCAGGGTCTTGACAAGAACTGCATGCCGCCTCACAAGCGCGGCACCAAGGTGTGCCCCCCATGGGCATTGGGGCTAACGATATTCCGCGCTGCTGCGGCCATTCGAGCCCTTACAGGTACACATATATATTTATATATACACCTAGATATATATATATATATATATATATATACACTCATACACGCACACCGACACCTGAAGCGGCGCCCAGGAATCGGGAGTTCCCTCATCGCTCCCTGCGCCTCGTGAGTTTCGAGGAGTCTCTGAGCTGCTTGCCGGAGCGCCTCCTGGGTCGAAGCAAGCAGGCAGGACTGCTTAAAGGGGGGGCCCTTTAGGCTTTGTCATAATTGAGTAACGTGTTAGATGTTTATGGGTCTTTAAAGCCAATAAGGAACAAAAGTGCACACTCTTAAGCCTATCCCAACCATGAACTAGTAGGGGGGCTCTTTAAAGGGCTCCTTAAAGGGGCTCCTTGAAGGGGGCTTCTTCAAGGGGTTGCATGTTTAGGGGAGTTTACAGGGTTTATAGGGTTTCAGGTTTAGGGTGTAAGGTTTACGGTTTAGGGTTCGGGTTTCGTGACGCTTTCTGTTAATCTCGTGGCGATAGGGTTCCGTATTTTAGTCAGAGTGCAAAATACCCCCAAACCCTATTCCCATTCGTAAGGCCCAGTTTAGCAATAAGTGGGCTCAGAACGGGTCGGAACAGCAGTTCCCGAGTCCCTCTCACCCCAAAACCCAATCCTGAGTAGCAAGGCCCTATACCACAGCTTCAGGATCCCTAAGCCCTAAATCCTGCGCCCTAAACCCTTAAACCCTAAACCCATAAACCTTAAACCCTAAATCCTGGTACGTGAGAACCGCAGGACTTTGACTTTGGAGGTCTATGCTTAAGTTATTAAGGTTGCTTTGCTCTTGTTTTCCTTGATTTTTGTGTCGTTGTTTTTTGCTGCTTCCTCGTCGATGAACTGGTTTCTGCATTTCGTCTTTGGCAGTTCTTTTGCTTAGTGTTGTACCTTTTACTTCCCTTGCTTCCTGCTGCGTCCGCTGTCGCCCAGTGACAGGCCGGTTTAAGAGAAATGTTCAACCGAAATCGCCTGTTGAGGGCGGGTCTAAGAACTTTGATGAAAAAATGGGATCGCCTACCTTGGGGCGGGTTTAGAATAGGTGATGAGGTGACATCGCCTGACGAGAGGGGTGGGTTACTGTAAGGAAACGGCGGGAGTAGAAGACGCCCGGGACTCCTCATAGTGCCCAGAGACTCCAATATCCCTTAATTGAGGAATATTCCTTAAGTTATGGTAGGATCCCTTATATGATTTAAGGTATAATCCTTAATTCAGGGATATTGGAGTCTCTGGGTGTGGCCCTGCTACGATGGGAGGCCTAAGGCGCTTTGAGTTTGTTGGATTTTTTGAAGACAACAGCTTAAGGTAAAAGCCAGAAAGTTGGAATATGATTATCCTAACCCTTCTATGGTAAATTATAGGGTATCCTACCATGAAACCGTATTCCAACTTTTTGGAGTTCCCTGTAAATCATTCCTTCTTTTACCATTCCAATTCACCGCCATCAAGATCTTTCCCCCCAAGTACCGGCGGGATGCAAGGGCCGGGCGGACGAGCACGAGAGGCTGCATAGTGTGGCCTGTCAGGACTGTAGACGTCTCGAGCATCTCGAAGACATACATTCATGAGGTCAAAACCCGTAACGATGAACTCTGCTTGCCCGGTCAGCGGCCAGCGTGGGACCATGGACATACTGTTGATGGACAAAATCCTGCGTGAGCCTATGGACTCTAAACTGTGGGAGCTATGGTATATTCCTTATAATGGGCAATGCAGGATTTATATCATCAACCCTGGTATAGTACCCCAAATAGTAGGATCCTTATCATAAGGACCCCAAAGTAAGGTACCCCTAATATTCCTTACAATGGGTACTGCAGGATTTTGTCCATCAGCAGTACCTATAGGCTCATACCACCCCTTTGTTTAAGGTACCTACTTTTCTATATAAGAGAACCTAGCCATAAAACTGGGTATCCTAAACAAGGGGTAGGGTATGACCCTCTAGGTATTCTGAGCTTAGGCAACACAAAGCCCTAAACCCTAAACCCTAAACCCTAAACCCTAAACCCTAAACCCTAAACCCTAAACCCTAAACCCTAAACCCTAAACCCTAAACCCTAAACCCTAAAGCCGGAGCCTCGAACTCTTGACTTTGGGGATTCAGGCTCGGCGGGGGGGGGGGTACCTTAAAGGGTTCTGTATAGGGATCTATGAGGATTCTATAGAGGGTTTTAGGGTTTAGAGTTTCCGAAAATTAGGGGGTACCTTACTTTGGGGTCCCTATAATAAGGATCCTACTATTTAGGGTACTATATCAGGGTCCCGGTTTAGAATCTAAGCTGTGAGGATCTGGGGCAGGCTCAGGAGAAATTGATGCGTGCAGGTTCAGCAGGAGAATATTGTCCTCGATACCGTGGAAAATGCAGATGGTTTGGAGCAGCTTGTGGTCATATGTGTGGATTTGGATGCTCCTGTCGAACGCAACCTGGAAGACTTACAGACACGCTCACGGCTGTACAGAGGTTTAACGCGAGCGCAACTCTTGGCTATCGTGGTCAATGCCAGGGTGAAAGGAGGTTGGCTGGAATTTTTGGGAATGGTGACATTCTCCGAATCTTCTGATGCTGGGTTCTTGTTAAAGGATTTAGTCTAAGTTACCATAATCAGGAAACCATACTGTTCATGTAATTCCTGAAATTCCTAGCAAGAACCCAGGATGAAGCCCTTGAAGACAAGGAGGCTGTCCCGAACATCCAAGCTGCCGCGGGCAAAGCGCATGAAGAAGCCTTGCAGATCGTCGAGGCCCCAGACGCCAGCAGTGCCGACGTCGACGAGAGTCTGGGTTCTTGTTAAGGGGTTTAAGTTAAGCTACCATAACTTTAGGGTTCCTTTAAGGGTTGTATAAGGGCTTTTGTTGAGGAATTTAATACTATAGTCTCGTTATTATGGTAACTGCATGAAACCCTTTCACAAGAACCCAGGAGTGCTCAACCGGAGGAGAGCACTCTGCAGCTGATACAAGAGACCTCGACGGTGTTTGGGTGCATTCAGCAGCGACAGACAGCTTTTTGGTGTAGGCCCATTTAAAACCTTCTCACCAGCTCTTTGAGGAGGAATCCGATGAATAGCAGGAACCTTGCTTATGGTGATTTTGGGACTGGGCATTGCGATTTCAAGCCCCTGGTTGCAAGCCGAAGTCGCCATGGCAACTCAGGTCTGGGATACCAGTGGCAACACCATGTCAAAGCCCACGAGTTTGCTCTTCAACCCGTTCTTCTCGGCAGATAAGGTGTTCCACATGCAGTAACCAAAAACCTACAACCCAAACCGTGAAGCTACTTTTTTCCGCATCGGCAGGCTCGCGCAGCAAAAACGCTGCAGGCGGGCCCGTGCGGTTAGCGTTTGGGATTTGGGGGTTGTGGTTAGCTAGCATCTAGGGTTAAGGGTTTAGGGGATTACGGTTTCGGGTTTAGGGTTGCCTAGTCTACTGTCATTCGAAATTTCACTCTGCAGGACATCGGCAGTCGTATCCTGGCTTCCTTGCAACGTCAGGCCGGACATGGGGCGCTTAAGCCTTAACCCCTCGACTCGCATCAGTGCAGGGCCGGACGCTGGACGAGCTTTTTACCAGCTTGGCCAAGGCCCTGATTTCAGCTGCGTTTGGTGGTGGTACCCTAAACCCTAAACCGTTTTTAGGGGTTAAGGGTTTAGGGTTTAGGGCTTTAGGGGCTTCTTTGTCGGGGCCATCGTGTGGTTTCCAAATCCGTTTCCGTTTTGGAAAAAGAAGCGAGCAAGCAGGCAAGCTAGCGAGCTAGCCCGAAGTTGCCTGAACCTTGCCACAACTCTTACCTGTCTGAACGCAACCGAAAACCAGAGGGGAAAAGGAGGGGAAAAGGAGGGACCCTTAATGGGGACCCCTGCCCTTTGATGGGCTATATAATAGGTATATAATGGCTATACTAAGGGTATATACCTAGGGGTCATTAAGGGTCCCTCCTTTTACCCTTGGGGAAAACCTTGAAGCTGAAGCAATGAAGTAAGCTTAGATCCTTAAGCGCTGCTAATGCGACACATCAAGTTTCCTCCATGTGGATAGTTGTCAAAATTATGGTCCCTTTTTGGGTACCCTAAATAATAGGTGCCGTATTATAATAGGGACCCAAAAAGGGACCACAATTTTGACAACCACCCATGTACAGGCCACTTTGTACAAATGCCATAGTTTCAGTAGGTAAAGGAGCATACACAAGGACAGTTGATCAACAACACACAACCGCCCCAATACAGATACACAGCCAATCTGGCGACCCCGGTCCTTTGTTGGCAACCCTAAACCCTAAACCGCCCCAGACTCACGACGACCAAGCGCTTCGCCGGGCCGACCTTGACGAGTTGTTCACGCGGCTTCAGCCCGTTCCCCAGTCCTTTTGAACTGGGGTTTCCGAAAATAGGAGACCCTAATATAGTACCCTACATGGTAGGATCCTTATTATGTGGACCCCTAAATAATCTCGCCGATAATTTTCGGATCTCCCTTTTGGGGCTGGAGACGACCGCTGGACTAGAAGCATGGGACAGCTGAGGCCTGACTTGCCAGAGTCGCAACTACACCTGCCCGCGCCTCGGGGTAGAGCGTTCCTGCAAGTGGCTGCGACACCGCCCGCTCCCACCGACGGGTTGCGAGCACCTCGTCGAGAAGCCTCCACGTGCTTGTGTGTTTCAAGGCTCTGGCTGGCCTTCGATGCCGATGCCGATGATCGCATTTCCCGCGAGGACTTGTTTCAGTGGCGATCTGCTACATGCATCTGCAATTCTGTGTCTCGTTATCTACAAAGGCTATGCAGGGCTGTGCGACAGGTTGCACTTTTGGGGGTTTCCGAAAATGGGGGGGACCCTAACACCGTACCCTAAGTAGTAAGATCCTGATGATAAGAGCCCCCAAGTAAGGTACCCCCTATTGTCGGAAACTCCCACGTTGCAGCTCTGAGACAGCTCACAGGAGTTCATGACGAAGATGGCGGCGGTGGATGGTTTCAGCGAGGCCGAGGTGGCTAACGTTTAGGCTTGGGGGCCTTACCTGGACCCTGAATGACCTACCTTTTTAAGGATCAACATAAGGAAATCATAATAGGGAACCCGAAACAGCAAGGTTGAAGAGGGTCCAGGTAGGCCGTAATGTAGGGGCCTAAATGCAGTAACTACCTACACCATTTTGGGGGTTCCTTACTATATTTATAGTAAAGCATACCCAAAAACCCTATTCTAACTATTAAGGCCCCTACAGTAAGCCTAAACTTTGGGTTTAGGGTTTAATCTTTCAACCAGATCCAAAACCCTGAAGGCTAAAGCCCTCCCTTGGACTGGAATAACATACATTGCATAAGGAAATCATAGCAAGGAACCCAACAAAAACCCTAAACCCTAAGAAGGTCTAGGATGCCGGCAGAGGTAGGATTTGCGAGCTGAGCCTTCTTGCCCGCAGACATGTGTTCCTGTCGTCTCGAAGTTCGAAGCTTCGATTGAGGCATTCGAGTATACTATGATGTGGGAGTTTCCGAAAATTAGGGGTACCTCATTTTGGGGTCCTTGTTATAAGGATCCTTCTATTTAAGGTACTATATTAGGGTCCCCTATTTTCGGAAACTGCCATGTAATACCGTATTATGCATATACTATATACTTGTAGCATATGGTGATGTGGCATATCATCAAACATTATGACCTACTATGACATCTTACGACTCACCCCCTTTTCTTGCCAAATTCCGTCTGATTGCAGCAGCAACAAGGAGGTTCTGAAGACTATAGGCCTCGAGATAGTCCAAAATCGGATGTAGTGGACTGCACTTGGCGTAGGAAGAAGAAACCCAAACTCAACCCCCCAAGCCCCAACTAAAGCCCTAAACCCTAAACCCTAAACCCTTAAACCCTAAACCATTAAATCCTAAACCCTAAACCCTAAACCCTTTAAACCCTAAACCCTAAACGGGAGCTTCCGAAAATAGGGATACCTCATTTTGGGACCCTTGTAATAAGGATCCTAGTATGTAGGGTACCTTATTAGTGTCCCCTATTTCCGGAAAGTCCCAAACCCTAAACGGAAAGGTGGATAGTGAGGCTGCGAAGAGGAAGGCGGTGCTGGAAGCGAAGAGCGTGAAACTGCAACAGGAGGCCACGTGGCGGTACTACGCCGCCCGCCTCGGCTTGCGAGAGAGCAGCACACGTGACCCGGTAATGGATGGGGGGCAAGGGAGACGTGTGGGGGGGGCTGGCGTGGGGGGTCGAAATTGTGGGCCAACAGCGGGTGCGGCAGGAGGAGATTTCCTGAGGCTGTGGCCTCGGCGGATTATACCCCCACTTATTTACTATGTCCCCTGGGCCTATAGGTATGGCTGTCTGCGACAGGTTTTGAAGCAGCAGACAGAGGGCAGTGAGAGCTTAAAGGACAGCTCATGGTGTGGAACGGTTGATGATATAAATCCTGCATTACGGGCCCTAAACAATGGGAATTTTAGGGTATAGTCCTTATAATGGGTAATGCAGGATTTATATCAACCGAATGACCGCTTTGTCTTTTTCTAGAGGCATTCTGCGTTGTTTTTGTGGGATCTTCGGGCTCAGATTGAACTGAATTCATCAGAATACAACTTCGTGCTCAGCAGACTTCCAGGGATTTTGAGATTACTGAGATCGTTAGGGCTGTAGGATTCAGGGTTCAGGGTTTCAGGGTTTGGGGTTTAGGATTTAGGGTTTGTGTTTAGCATGAGAACCCAAAGTCTTAGAGCTTCTAAGCCGTGATCACCATGACTGCTGAACCTGCGCCTTGCCTGCAAACGACCAGGACTCGTAGAAGTTTGATCCCAAACCAGAAACCCATCAACCACTACGTGGATGGTTGTCAAAATTATGATCCCTGTCTGGGTACCCAAATACTAGGTGCCGTGTTATAATAAGGACCCAAAAAGGGACGCTAATTTTGACAACTACCCATGTGTCGCGGATCTTTGGGGCGATAGGAACCGAATTGTGGATGTCAAGGTTTGGTGATTGGCGGTTGGGTTTCAGGCTTGGGATATAGACGTCCGCATACGTACTACCACTGCCGGACAACATCCATATCCTGCTGTGCAAAGTATCATTGCGCAAATCCCAGAAGTTGGGTCTATCGGGAAGCTGGTTCTTTCAAACATGGGGGTGTTTGTACATGCTAAATTATGTAGAGGTTGTACTGTGGTCGTGGCAAATGATATCTGGGGCGACTTTCGGGGATGCGAAACCCTATCTAACAACTAAACCCAAAGCCTAAACACGAAATCCTACACCTAAAATCCCAACTGCTAAAGCTGCTAAAGCATTGAATCCACTTGGTGCAGAATCCGATGCATATACATCGACCCTGTTGCAAAGCCACGAATATAATATATAGTCATAACTTAGCTCGTAAAACCTAATCCACAAATGTAGTGACATCTGAATACCAAATACAGTAAGATATGCAGAACATTCAGTTATATGTATGTAACCTGAAACCCTCAACCCTGTATAGACTTGTAACCCTCCAGAAACCTTGAACTCAAAACCCGCAACCCTATACACACCCTAAATTCTGCAGAGCCCTAAACTCGAAATCCTATATAATCCCTAAGCCGTAAACCCTATTGAACTTTGCACCCTTAGCCAAAAAAATAGTATAGACCCTAAACCTACAGAAGACCCAATCTCCAGCCCAACATATAACCCACCCTACATAAAATCGACGTATACACACATACGTGCATGTGCATGTATATGTTGGGTACGGCCCCCACTCAGTAACAGTTGGATAATATTCATAATATAGATACATAAGGCCCTTAATAGTAGCCCTATCATAGACTGTTACTGTATGGCGGCCTTACCCAATGTGTATATATATATACATATATATATATATATACATATACATATACATATACATATACATATACATATACATATTCATATTCATATATGTATATATTTATATATATATCATGCGTATACAGATTGTAGATCCCTTATAGTAACCCTTGTAGACCCCTTTAAAGGAACCCTAAACCCTAAGCCCTTATGGATCCCTTGTAGTAACCCTTGTAGACCCATTTTTAAAGGAACCCTATTCTAGCTATTGAGGCCCCGGCCAAAATTACCCACAGGACTCTTTCGAGAAGCTGATCACACGGGTGAACCGGATGATGGACCTGCCTGCGCAGGACATCTTGCAATGGCTCTGAAGAAGTTGAGGGTTTAAGGGATACTTTAAAGGGGTCATAAGGGCTACTAGTTGAGGATTTAAGGGTTACTCCAAAAGAGTGATTCTGGCTACTAGTTGAGGGTTTAAGGGTTACTGTAAACAGGTCATAAGGGCTACTAGTTGAGGCTTTACAGGCTGCTTTGAAGGGTCACAGGGGTCACTACATAGAGGGGTATATTTAGGTTTTTGAGAAAAGGGTCATAAGTTCTCAAGGTTACTACGTAGAAGGGTAATGCACAAGAAACTTGACGGCGTTAAGGTATAGAGTTCTTTGAACAGGATGCTGTCAGGGTTGCTAGAGGGATACTATACTTGGAGGGGCAGGGGACTTAGTAAGTAGGATTATACGTAGAGTTCTAATTGGGGCAACTCCATTTAGGGTACTTGTAACTCTACTTATAACCTACTTACTACTTCCCCCCCAAATAGACCCTAAGCCCTAAACCCCATAGATCCCTTTAAGGAACCTTACAGATCCCTACAAGGAGCCCTTCAAGAACCCTTGCTAAGTCCCCTGCCCCTCCAAGTAGTCGGGATTGGTCAGATCGAGGGTTTACTTAAAGGATCATGGGGCTTAGTAACTAGGGTTCCTGAAAGGGTTCCTGTGAAGGGATTTATAAGGGTTCTATAAGGGGTCCTCAGGGTGTACTTGAGGGATCATGGGGCTTAGTAACTAGGGTTATTATTATGGAACCTATACTTATAATTGCTTATATCCCCAGTTAAGGTACCTATAACCATAGTTACTAAGTCCCATGGTCCTCCAATTAGGGTTTAGGGGTTCGGCTTCGAGGTTTTAAGGTTTCGGGGTGAGGTGAGGTTCCGGTTTAGGAATTAAGAGCTTATGGGTGTGGACTTAAGGGCTTATACAGGCTAATTGTAGGGGCCTTGAATTTTGGCAGAGTTCGGTATACTCATAAAAAGGAATCCTAAGACGAGCATTGGCAGTTGTTTAAGCTTCTATAGTCCCAAGGGAGATGGTGGGCGGCAAACCATTTGTTCCCCAAAAAACCCCAACTACGTAAGAGATGATCGGTGGCAAGGGAATGTAGAAGGTGGCCAACCTTTTAACTGTTTGGATCCGGCATGATAATGAAATATGGATGGCAGGCCCAAGAAATCAAATGTATATCGGGTTATAGCCTTTAAGCCCACAAGGTGGTACTGGGACATGAAACAAGTCATAAGTCTACGTCCAAGTGATTACGGAGAATCGAGTCGCGACTGAAAAGCTTTTGGGGAGAATGGCTGTTGACCAAATCCCCACCAGTATAGCCCGAATCAATCAGGATATGGTTTCAGCCCAGACCAAGGACATGCTTCATGTAGTCACTCTAAGGAGTCAATCTCCCGATCCAGATGACACAACAACAAATCGCGATTGCGTGTGAATTATTCTGTATGTGCGAACTCTTCATGAGGTCCACAGAAAGAAACAGATATTCGTTATTCCGATGGTGCGGCATCTGCGTAATCCTCGACAAGTGTGTTTCCAAACTCCCCCCTCCAGGCCGTTCCAGTCTCTCTCTCTTTCTCTCTCTCTTTCTCTCTCTTTCTCTCTCTCTCTCTATGTATATATATATATATATCCGTATATACATACACCCACATATTATGTATACATAACTAACTTATACAATGTCGAGGGATAGCCTATAACTTTCTTTTTGTTAACAGTTCATTGTTCTGAGGGGCAGTCCATAGCGAGAACTGTAATTCTGCTTTCTTTTCTAGCCTACTATGTTTCAGGGTTCGGGGGCTACAGGCAGGGTCTGGGAAGGGGTAACACCCGATTTTTCGGGGGGCTTCTAATAAGGGTCCTGCAAATTGAAGATGAGGGTCTTTACCTACTTGTCTGCACTTCCCAAGAACTGGTTGGTTCTTGGGAGGGAATGTGGAGACCATTATTGGGGGGTTATATAGGGACTACTATAGGGATCCATTCCCCCATTCCCTACTCAGCTGCTTGCATGGATATCAAGACCCTCATCCGGAGTGCCTGAAAGCCTGAAGGTCGAAATCAAACCTAAACCCCTAAAGCCTCAAACCCTGAACCCTGACAAGCTTAAATTCTAAAACGCCCAGACTCTAAACCCCAAACCTTGAACAATAAACCCGAAACCGCCCGGAACCCCACCACCCTAAAATGTTGAAAGCCCCAAACACCCAACCCTGAAAGCTAAACCATAAACCCTAAAACCCTGAACCCTGAAGCCTGAAAGCCCGGTTTCCAGGCCGCAGAGCACCGGGCAAAGGAAGGGGCCGAAGCTGCCGGACCCAAGGCCCAAGCGTTTCCATGGAACCTTAAGAGGGTTTAGGGTTTAGGGTTTAGGGTTTAGGGGGCTAATGGGTAGTTGTCAAAATTAAGGTCCCTTCTTTTGGGTATCCTAAATAATAGGTGCCATATTATGCTAGGGACCCAAAACGGGACCGTAATTTTGACAACCAACATAGCGGCCGGTTTAGGGTTTGGGGTTTACGGGGTTAGGGATCAGGGTTAATTAAGTTAATTACCACTACCATTTGTGGGGTTCCTTTTTATAATTACAGTACAGTATACCCCAGAACCCTGTTCTCATGTCTAAGGCCCCAAAATTTTGGTTTAAAGTTCGGTTCTGGTTTCGTTTCAGTTTGTAGGCCCGCTTCATAACGTCGGTTACTGGAATGTTTGGTTCAAATTTCTATAATTAGCAATACTAGCACCCTAAAGGGTTTAGAAGGGCTCTGTAGGCATTTTACCTAAACCTTAAACCCCCCTAAACCCTAAACCCCCGATTCACCGTCAACCCATAGCCTGTGTTTTCCGTGTGGCAGGTCATACCCAGAGACTCCAATATTCCTCAATTAGGGAATATACTTTAAATCATATTCGGGATCCTACTATAATTTAAGGTATCTTCCTTAATTAAGGGATATTGGAGTCTCTGGGAAGTGGCTGGTACTAGCCTGCCTTCAGAGGCTCTCTACAGAACATGCTCTGGAAAGAGGCCCTCAAAAGGTCCTTAACCCTAAATTCTAAACCCTAAACCTTAAACCCTAAAGACCCAAGACCTTGAACCCTAAACCTTAAATCCTAAACCCTATAGACCCAAAACCTTAAACCCTAAAACCCTAAACCTTAAACCCTACAGACCCAACACCCCAAACCCTAAGCCCAAGGGTTGCTTACGGTTTCACAAGGGGTTCTCTGGAAGCGTTTTACAGGGACTCCGCCGGAGTTTTGGCCATGTTGGGTTTAGGGGGGTTTTCGCATGTTGGGTTTAGGTTTGGGGTTTTAAGGTTTAGGGTTTAGGGTTTGGGGTTTTAGGGTTTAGGGTTTTCGGATGTTGGGTTTAGGGTTTGGGGTTCATAGATGGCTTTTGTGATTTCTGGCGTCTTTGTTTCAGGGTGTCTTGGGGTTGTGCAGGGTTTCTGAGGTGAGTTTGTAGGGTTGTTCAAGTTTTTCTAGGGTGTCTCAATTTGTTTGAAGGGTTTCATCGTGTTTTTGTTCTTCGATCTTTGTGTTTTCGTGTGGGCGTTTCTTGTTTCTTGGGTGCTCGTCCCTTGTTCTACGGTGTAGTACCTGTACCTGGACCCCAAAAAGCATGCAGAATAATGGCCGTTTATTGGTTTTGGGCCCTGCTTACTTTTGCGGGTCTAGGTGGGAGCGTCCGAAAATTAGGGGTACCGTATTTTGGGGTCCTTATAATATGGATCCTACTATGGTCCCCTATGTTCGGAACCATGGTCCCCCTTTTTCCGGAAACTCCCAGGCAGGATTTCGGCATGTTTCGGCTCTACGGTTGCAGGGTCTTCCCAGAGACTCCAATATCCCTGAATGAGGGAATATACCTTAAATAAACTATAGTAGGATCCATCCCTAAACCCTAAACCCCGAAACCCTAAACCCGAATATGATTTAAGGTATGTTCCCTAATTCAGGGATTTTGGAGTCTCTGGGTTCTAGGCGTCTCTAGGTTCCCCCCGTTCTTTGCGTTTTGCTTGCCCTAAGCTAGATCCAAGACTCTTCGGGGTTTAGGGTAGGGCACTCAGACCCCAAATCCCTTATCCGCAAAATCATGGGGGGTTTAGGGTTTAGGGTTTAGGGAATTATGGGTATTTGTCTGTGGATTGACTATCTTCGCTGGGTTGCTCAGGGTCCTCGTGGGGTTCCTGGTGAGTGTTTTGTCTCTCGGGGTGTCGGGTTCGGGGTCACTGGTGTGGTTCCTCATCATGGTTCTTTATGCAGGTGGGAGTTTCCGAAAATAGGGGACTGGGGACTCTAATATAGTATCCTACATGGTAGGATCCCTACTACAAGGACCCCAAAACCAGGTACCCCTAATCCTCGGAAACTCCCATTGTAGGTTTAAGGATCTGGGGATGTCTAGGCGGTTCGGGAGTGAGGGTTATTGGGCTATATTTGGGGGTGTGGGGTTTGGGTAAATTTGGGTCTGAGCATTTACCGTACCAAAACCCTCGAAGTGCGGTACCCGTGCTCCATTCTAGTCCAGGTAGCTACTGGGGTGTGCTAGGGTTCTAGGGTTTGGGGCTTAGGGATTAGGGTTTAGAGCTTGAGGGTTTGGGGCTTAGTTGCTCCATGCATGGTTCATTGACCGTTACAGCTGCACAGGAAGGCGGCTCCTTGCCACCGGGCTGGTCGCAACATAGAGACCCTGCCACCGGCAAGACGTGAACTGACACGTTTGTGTAAGACGAGTAATGTAGGAACCTGATTAAGAAACCCTGGCCCTATAACCCCAAAAACAGTAGGATTCATATAAGGAAGAGAGAGAAATCTTTGTGAGGAAGCCCGCCAGGTGGAAGAGCTCCCCAAGGAAAAAGTGAAACCATGAAGTCATATCATGCTGGTAGCCGCCGAGGACGTTCTTGAGAATGCACACGGGGCCTACTTGCTACAAAAAACCAGAAGGGGTGAGAGGGCCTAAACCACAAGCCAGAGCAGGAGGTAAGGCAGATAACCGATCATGGCACCACTAGCCGTATCGCATTTTCAGAACAGCAGCTCTGACAGCGAGATGCCATGCTAAGACAGCCTGATCATAAGGAGCGTTTCGTCCTAACGGCCATCCAAGGCGACGCTGCGCAGCGTCAACAGGAACCGCAGGGCGGTCAATGTCAAGGGGCAAAGAAGGGCATTCCCAAAGGATATGCTCAGTAGACCCCACAGAGCTCAAGCAGAAAGGACATGTGACATCATTGCCTTGTGCGCGTGCATAAGCGGCAGATTCATATAAGGAATCCTAACAAAGTGCTAGAATCGACTCTCTCATTCATGGTTCTCAGAAAACCTGAGAGCTGTGTCTTGTTGTCGTTCGTGTCGGAATATCTGGAGTACAGGACTATTTCAACTTTCGAACTCAAGTCGACGGTAAGACCATGATCTCAGCCTGATTAGCCAAAACCCCCAACCCTAAACACAAAATCGTTGACCCTCAAAGGTATCAGAAACCGAGATGACTCAGCCAGGTACTACTTCAACATGAAGACCAAGGAGAGCAGATGGGACGTGCCGACCACGTGAGAGTGGTACTTTGGAATTGGCCTTTGGCGCTAGGCTGTTTGGGTTTCTCCTGCTGGCTACTGTACTTGGAGGGTCGGGGGACTCAGTAACTGGTTATTTTAGGGACTTATAAGTACCGTAACCCCAATTAGGGTCCCTTTTAGGGTACTTATATGTCTACTTACCACCTACTTACTAAGTCCCGCGACCCTCCAAGTACTCTTGCTACCAGATCGTCCGGATGCGAGAAAGCCCCCCAACCACGGGTTTTGAACAATACACTCTACAAGCAGAATTCCGAACGGTTTAGGGAGGGGATCAGTATGACTGGTTATGGAGGTTTCCATCTTATCAGGACTGCTCAACAATGCATGGCACTGGTCATTGATGTAAGATGTGGGAAGCAAGGATTCGTGGACCAGAAAATATGTGTATCTCAGAACCTGGGCTCCGTTTTTTTTTGAGGGGGGTCCTTGTAATCAAAAATAGACTGTCTACTACTGTTGAATATTGGGCTCTCTTTTGCCAGTCTGCAATGAACACTTCAAAAAAGGAACAAACCCCCAAATCCTGAACCCTGAACCCCTACACCCCTTCGTCCTCTGAGTTTGCACTGCAAGAAGCTGAGGCAGTGAACGCTGTCGATGAAGGTGAAGGCTGAGCCTTTTGCGGAGGCCGGGTGTGCTGAGCTGAACGGTTTAGGTTTGGGGTTTAGGGTTTAGGGGTTTAGAATTTAGGGTTTAGGGTTTAGGATTTAGGGTTTAGGGTTTGGGGTTTGGTTTCGAGTTTGTACCTGAGTCCCACGGCTGAAACAATATCCGGGTTAAGGGCATGCATGGTACACTTCGCAACAGATACCGAAGTGGGACACGCTGTTGTGCTCGGTCGTAGCTTGCATAGCCCCGAGAAAGCGCGAGTTCTGCCCGGTCAGCGGTCAGCTAGCTGTACTTAGCCCAAAAGCTCTCCGACGGTTGCCAATTTCAGTATCTCTTAAATCCCCAGTACCTAACCTTTAAGCTTTTCAGTTCAGCGTTTTATTTCTGTGGCTTCTTGGGCAGTAAGATCTTGACCCATGTGCTTGCTAGTTCGAGCCAATCTCCCAACGACAACACAGTTCTGACAGATGCGCCACTGGGAGCCAGCCCCGCATACCAACAAACCCTAGATCCTGGACCCTAAGGTTGGTTCCGTGGATGATGTCCACGCAGCGTAATAAATTCCAGCTTCACCGTCGTCATTCCAGACGTTGCAGACAGTCATGACTAGTTGTCGAGTTCCTACGACTAACATCATTGTCAGATAGCAAGCCCTCGTCAGTTGCATGCCAATGATGCTGTGACTGCTATGGATCTCATTCGTTTATCGTTTCGCTTCATGAATAGAGAGAGAGAGAGAGAGAGAGAGAGAGAGAGAGAGAGAGAGAGAGAGAGAGAGAGAGAGAGAGAGCGAGCGAGGAGGGAGAGGGGGAGGGGGAGGGAGAGAGGGAGGGAGGAGGGAGAGAGAGAGAGCGAGAGAGAGGGAGAGAGAGAGAGAGCGAGCAAGAGATACGGAAAAGACCCCAAAGCCTCTTCCGGGCGGGCGGGGGGGGGGGTGGGCCAACGGCTGCCGGTCTGGCGACGGTCAGACTCTTTCCCTTAAAGGTCCGAAACCCTGAACCCTAAACCCTGACAAAGGTGAGAAGGAAGGAAGTCACAGAAGACAGGTTAGTGTGGGAGCACTTGAGCCTTGCAGTGAAGCAGTGCGAGGGTGAGCAGACGGGGTGGTGTTTAGGGTTGAGGGCGTTTAGGGTTTGGGGTTGAGAGTTTCTAGTAGAGTTCGCGAGCAGCGAGCAAAGGAATAAGTGAGCGAGGGAGTGAGTGACCGACTCAGTGAATCAACTGACAAGCGTGTTGCCTTTGAAGCTGCATTTGGGTGTTGCTTCAGTTGCCGGAAAGTCGCGAGTCTTCTGTCACAGGCTCGTGCCGTGCCGCGCAAGCGGGCCGCGGAGGATGCTTTTCGGTCTTGAGCATCTGCTTTTGGGCAAGTCACAGTATATTGTGTGTGTGTATATATATATATATATATATCATTCTATATACATATATACACATGCATACATACATGTATATATATATATACACACAGACACACAGTATCCTGTAGGAGGCAGCCTGAGAGCATTCTCCACGAAGTGGAGCATGCGCTCCTTTACGTTTTCTAGGTGGTCGCCGCCCCCTAGTTTGGGTTTAGGGTTTAGGGTTCAGGTTATACTAGTTAAAACTGCCCATCCAGTGGCAGTCGAAATGCCATCTCCGCAAAGTGGAGCGCTCGCTCTCTTGGTGCGAGCCTAAGGCCACACCACTTGAGCTGTGCAGAATGCACTGCTTCGTGGAGCTCGGTCTGGAGTGAATCCCGCCATTCTGCGGAAAACTAGAATTGTACCCTGAACACTAAACCCCCAAACCCTGAAACCCTCAAACTATTAACCATAAACCCTAAACTACCTTAAACCCGAAATTTCTGAAGCCTTTAAACCATTAACCATCAACCCTAAGCACCAAAACCCCAAAACCCTTTAGCCCGTAAGCCCTCAAGCCATAAACCCTAAACTGCCTTAAACCCTAAACCCTAAACCCTAAGCCCTTAAGCCCTAAAACCCTTGGGCCATTCGCCATAAACCCCGAAACCCCCAAGCCTCGAACCCCTTAAGCCCTTAAACCCTTAAGCTATGAATCCTAGGCTATCTCAAACCCGTAGCCATTCAGCCCTAAACTACCTTCAGCCATTAACCATAAGCCCTAATCCTTAAACCCAAACCTATCTAAAACCGAAGACCCTAAACCCTGCATTACCTTACGCCATTAGCCATAAACCATAAATTACTTTGAGCCAGTAGCCATAGACCCTAAGCCCTAAACTACCTTCAGCTGATAGCCATAAACTTTCAACCACCTTCAGCCACTAGCCATTAAGTCTAAACTACCTTAACCTAAAACTCTAAACCCTAAACTACCTGAAACCTAAAACCCTAACCTACCTTAAGAGGCCATACACCCTAAACTACCTTCGCCATGAGCTTAGGGTTTTAGGTTTAAGGCTTGGGGTTCAGGGTGGAGGGGCTTCGGTTTGAGGTTCAGGGCCTAGGGCCTTGGGTTTAGGGGTTTAGGGTTTAGGGCTTAGGGTTCTGGGATTCTGGGTTTCAGGTTTAGGGCTCTGGGTCTAGGGTCTCACCGCCTGCTGCCGGTTGCAAGCAGACCAAGGCCTGTAGAACCGGTCAGCACCAGAACAGGCCCAGAGACTCCAATATTCCTCCTATAATTTTTGGAATATTCCTTAATTAAGGGATATTGGAGTCTCTGGGGATGTTTGAGCTGGAAGCCTTCTTGGCTTACATGTGCCACAAGTCTTGCGAATTTGAGGCATCAGGTGCAAGTTAGTACACTCCAGCACTTAGTACCTCAGCCCCTAAACCTTAAACCCTAAACCCCCAAACCCTAAACCCCCAAAGCGTCGCTCAACTGGTGCGCGATGGCCCTGTCCCCAATGCGACCATCATGACGAAAAGGCGCTCCTGTCAAGGTGGCGTGGAGCGAACAGATAATGGAGGGGTTGTCAAAATTATGGTCCCTTTTTGGGTCCTTAATATAATACGGCACCTAATGTTTACGCCACCCCAAAAAGGGACCATAATTTAGACGACTACCCAATTAGAGAAGGGATTCGGGGGTTTCCTTATTATAATGATAGTATCTGATAGTATACTATCCCCCCCCAAAATCCTATATTAATCATTTAGTAGCGCCCCTACATTAGATCCGTCTCAGGCCCTGCTCTATTTCCCTATGTTTATGTCTCTTGCAGAAAAGTCCTCGTTCCCTAGAGGGGCTTCTCTTAGGGGTTGAACCTTACCATGGTTCATGCCTGAACCCAGAGACTCCAATATGCCTGAATCAAGGAATATACCTTAAAATATAGTAGGATCCTTAATATGGATTTAAGGTATATTCCCCAATTAAGGAATATTGGAGTCTCTGGGAACCACGCGCCAAACAAGCCCCGTGAGTTGAAGCTTGCACCTATGAAAACCATGCGCCTGACTCACGACCATTGGTTTTGAGTGGGAGTAGTTAGCACTCTGTCTTCTGGTTGTCCCATCACATTAAAACTACAGCAAGATCAGAGGAGAATGACACTGTTCAGACGCATACTGATTCAAGATGCGAGAATCGTGAGAAGCAGGTCCGATGCGAATCAGAAGAATCATGAGAGTCATCTAGCCCCTCAGCAACGAGCCAGGCCAAACAGCTGCGAGTCCGGGCAATACTGGGGATGTGGCTTTACAGATCATATCATTCGCCATCGACGGGTAGAGCGAGATACAATAAGAATGATGGACAGCAGTAGGCATGGTGCCCGAGTTGGCAATAGGAAATGTGCTCACAACAATGAGGTGAAGGGAAGGGACGCGACGGTTGACAGACGTCAGCCGGTTGCGGTAGGAAACGGTGCTCCCTGTACCCGAGGCCCCACCTTGAAACTTCAAGCGACATTTCGTCGGCTTGCACGATGCGAGCCCGGTCTTAGCGCATGAGCTTGGGATAGCGGCAGCCTACACGGTAGGCAGTGGGTAGCACCACGGTAGCCTCCCTTACACCGGCTTGAAACCTCGAAGCATCAACCTGATGCCTTCAACTCCCAAGCTCTTCCCAAGCTCCTATCACCCCAAAGCCCCTATATCATGGCACCCTACTCTAGATCCCTTATAGTAACCCTTATATAGACCTATAGATCCCTTATAATAATATAGACCTACTATAGATCCCTTATAGATCCCTTAAAGGAACCCTTATAGATCCGTTACAGTCACCCTTTTTTAGACCCGACCCCCAACGCCCTGATGGACCCCAGCCCTGAGGCAGGGGAGGCGCCTGAGGCCTGCAGCCGGTTGCTTCGCAGGTTTTGGGTCTGGGAGTCCAGGGTTTGAAAAGGGTACTATAGGGTTCTATGATAGGGTTCCTTAAAGGGATCTATAATAGGGTTCCTTATAGGGTTCTATAAATAGGGTTCCTTAAAGGGATCTATAGGGGTCTGGGAGTCCGGGGTTTAGGAGTTACTTGGAGGATCATGGGACTTAGTGATCCTTTTAATAAGGGTTAATCGGGTTCCTTAAAGGGATCTATAGGGGTTCTGTTATGGGGATCATGGGACTTAGTAGGTCAGGTTTAGGGCTCCTTTTAATAAGGGTACTAGAGGGTTCTATAATAGGGTTCCTGAAAGGGATCTATAGGGGTTCTATAATGGGGATCATGGGACTGAGTTTAGGGTTTAGGGGTTCCCAGAGACTCCAATATTCCGGGAATATACCTTAAATCCATATTAAGGATCCTACTATAATTTAAGGTATATTCCTTAATTTTAAACGCTTCGCGTCGTCCGCCTCGGCCCGGCCTTAGGGTTCTTGAGGCTTTTGTTTCGTCCTTTCCGGTCCATGTGTTGTCCCCGGCTTTTAGGTTTTATCAGGCCTAGGTTTAGGTTAGGGCGTAGGATTAAGAGTTCAGGGGCAGGCCGCAACAAGTAAGGGTGCTATAGGAAAATCCCCTGTATTCGGAGACTCAAGTATACGTAGGTGTTGCAAGCATTGGCGGCATGTGATGGTTATCCCAGGATTTTCGCAATGTACTTATCCCCCAAGGAACGAAGGAAGTCAAGTGGCGAGCAAACAACAAGAATCGAAAGAAATAAACACGAACGACTCAAACGGTTTAGGGTTTAGGGCAAGGCAGGGCAGGGCCAAGCAGGGCAGGGCGTGCAAGGCAGGGCAGGGCGGGCAGAGCAAGAGCCTGATTTAGAGAAACACTGATGCGGTTGATGTGGAAATTGTTGCATTTCCTCTGTGCCTGATAGCCCCTAGCTGGGCGATAGCGATGCTTGAATCTCCGATGTCGGAACCCTGCACCCTACTGCCTAAAGCCTTCCACGCAGCGGACAGCTCGCAAGCTTCAGTTTCTGAGCCTTGTGCAAGTCGTAGCAGCAGCGGATGGAGCTTGCGCTGGCACCGGAACTTAGAAAAAGACAGGGGGGGCGTGGGGGGCAGGGGGGAGGGCAGGGGGGTGAGGGAGGGGAGAGGGGAAGAGCAGGAAAGTGGGTAGGTGAGAATTCCTGCCGGACCTTGGACTTATCTGTAGGTTTTTTTTTATAGGGCGGGTAACCCCCTTCTCTGCGCGGTACCACCAAGAGGGGTGGGGTCACTGGGGAGGGGATTAAGAGGTGGGGAATAGAGGGAATCCGAATACGAACCTCTGACCGCTTCGGCCGGGGCCGAGGCGAATTAAGGGATATTGGAGTCCAGGGCTTAGGGCTCAAGCCGAAAAAGCCATAAAAAGCCGACCTTGGGATTCCTCTTCATGGTTTCGATATACAACTCCAGAAAAAGAAAGAAGGTAGGCTTTTTGGGCCACAGGTGGGGTTTAGGTTGTGGCGGTTCCTCTACAGGGATCTATAGGGGTTCCTTAAAGCGATCTATAGGATGTGGGGTATATGGTTTAGGGCTTTAGGTTCAGTGAGTGTGAGGGTGTCAAAGGGGTTTGGCAAGGTTTGGCAAGGCTGCAGTTCTTGTATTTTCGAAAGCTTTGGATTGTCTGCGGGTTGTAAAGTCCCTAAGCCCCAAAGCCCGAAACCCTAAACCCTAAACCCTAAACCCTAAACCCTAAACCCTACTCTAGAGGATTCGGAAGATCAGCAGCAACTTGTTGTAGAGAGAGAGACCCTAAAGCCCCCAAATCCCAAAACTCTGGAGCCCTGAAGCCCTAAACCCCCCACCCCTGAACCCTAAAGATCCCTGAAGGCCCTAAACCATGGACAATATAGAAGCCGAAGGAGTTACCGATATTACTCCTTAGGCCTTAATATATTTATAGTATAACGGGCCCCCAAACCCTATTCTACTTATGAAAGCCCCTATAATACAGATCGCAATTATACATCCCTCTTAGATCCCTTTACGGCAATCCTCATACGCCCCTTTAAAAGAGGAACCTTCCTGGGCCCTGATAGGTCCCTTCAATTAAAAGGAGCCCTAAACCCTAAACCCTAAACCCCCTAAACCCTAAACCCTATAATTACCCTAAACCCTTTTAGATTCCCTTGTATTGTAGAACCCTTAAAGGAACCTAAACCCTAATCCCCCTAAACTCTTTTTTTTAAAGGAACTTTCCCTGGGCGCTGGCACCCATGGCGGCCTTGCGCGAGACGTTGCTCTTGAGCCTCAAGGGAGAAACTCGACCTGCTCCGTTTCTCAAGGCTTTTAGGGCCTTTAGGGTTTTAGGGCTTGGGAGCCGTTTATCAAATCAAGGCTTTGAGGGTTTAAGGTTTATGGGGGTTCAGGGGTCAGTCTGAGGCTCGGCGTGGCTGTTTAGCGAGGTTCGGGTTAGGGGGTTTAGGGTTTAGGGGGTTTAGGGTTTAGGGTTTAGGGATTAGGGTTTAGGGTTTAGGGATTAGGGGTTCAGGGGTTTAGGGGTTTAGGGGTCAGGGTTTAGGGTTTAGGGAGTCTAGCGGTCTAGCGTTCTACTAGAGCGGTTAAGGGGGTTCGGGATGGGCAAGCTTGATTCGAACTGAGAAGGGCAAGTTGATCGTGGCTCTCTTTTCGTTTTGTTGGTTTCTGGCCCTTGGTTTCAGACTAGGGCCATCTCTTCGGAACTTGTTAGTCTAAGTTTGTTTCTTAGTGTTACGCTCTCCGCCTTCCCTCAGATAGCGGGACCAGGAAGCCGCCATCGCCGAGTCGAAGGAGATCGACCCCAGCTACCATGGGCACATCCGGGATGAGGCCAAAAGGAAGCCCTAAAGACCTAAAACCCTGAAACCCTAAACCCTGAACCCTGAAGCACTAAAGCCCTAAAACCCTGAAGCCCTAAACCAAGACAGGCCAACACCTGCTGGATTTCTTTCCCGGGGAAGTATGCCGCAGGCCTGGGGTTTGCTGGGACTTCTGTTGATGATATAAATCCTGCATTACCTTAAGGACCCTAAACTACGGGAATTATGGTATAGTCCTTATTATGGGTAATGCAAGATCTATATCATCAACCGTATGAGACTCCAGGGTCTGGGTTTAGTGGAGGAGGTTCCGAACCCCAGACTCGAAAAGCCGGGTTGCAGGCAGGGTGCCTTTGTAACACCCTTGGCTGGTCAGCTTGAATCATTGTACCCGAAGCCTTTGCAAGCCCTTCATCCCAAAAGTGCTTGAGCCGAGCTAAGACTAGAAGCTTTCCTTGCGGAGGCTGGGAAGCTCTGGTGAAGGAGCTCCGCTGCCCCTTAATTAGGGAATATTCCTTAAATCACATTAAGGATCCTACTACAATTTAAGGTATATTCCTTAATCTAAGGGATATTGGAGTTTCTGGCCGTGCTGTGCTGCTCTTGAGGGTTCAAGGCTTATGCCGCCAGGCCAATCAGGTCTTAGAGTCGTAAGGATTGCGCCACGGGTTTAGGGTGGGTTTCCAGCATGCTGACCCTTCTAGTTCCCCTTATAGTAACCCCTGTAGCCCTATAGTAACCCTTGCAATAACCCTTATACCCTAAACCCTGAACCGTACGTTTAGACTCTTATAGTAACCCTTGCAGTAGCCCGTATACCCTAAGTCCTAAACCCTAAACCGTACTTTTAGTCCGCCCTTGTGGTAACTCTGATAAGCGAGGGTTGTTCAGGCCTGGAGCTCTTGTTTCAGACCTTGAGCTTTTGTCTCTTTTGGTCTTCGACCTCAAACCTAACATCGCAATAATACGGTTCAGGGCTCAGGTAGATAGGAATCATGTCGCCCCTTGTAGTTCCAGTCCCGATATAACTATGGTTTCATATACAAAATTTCCTCTTATAGGTCTAGTCCTTATATATATATACATATGTATAGTTTTCGGTAAGTATAATTAAACAAATAAATGAAAATATATGTATTTGTATATATGTACACATACATATATATATATATATGCATATGTTATATGTACATCTGCCGCAAAACCCCATTCAAATGATTAAGGCCCCTGCATTTTCCGGCAGGAGTTTCACCTTGACTCGGTGGCCTGTGTCTTCCTTTGCTCCCCTGCGGACGGCCCCGACCTCAGGTCATAGGCTTATGACAGCGCAGCCGAGAGCGTAATGTGAAGGATCGCATCGTGTAAGTCAACAAAAACAGAAGTGTACACGCATCAGCACATAAAGATCAAGCACCTAAGTGAACAGGTATATCAGTAAACAGGTAGAAAGCCACGCAGAAACTCAGGTGCAAAGGCATGAACATGTGGATATTCCAGCGACATGCATGCATGCCATGCATGCAAGGTATACATTACACTTACACTTACACACACACACACACACAACGGCGCACTAGGTCTTTGGGTACATGACATGCACTAATTACCTACCTGCATGCCTCCAAACTGCCTGCCCACCAGCTAGCCATCCTGCCTGCCTGTCTGACGGCCGGCACCTGCCTACCCACAATACGCAGTTGTTATCGCAAATCTAACGGTTTAGGGTTTAGGGTAGCCCTTGGCAATCTTACTTACTTCTGGAACCAGCTCAGTTTTTTCTGCAAGCTGCGGGAAAGGCATGTCGAGCAGGTTGTTGGCACCGGACAGACTTAGGACGATATGCAGAGTCTCGATCGAACAATCAAAATTCACGAGCTACTAACCCTCAACCCTCAACCCTAGAGCTTTGGCCACCTTGCTCCACTTGTCAGGCTTGAGCCCCCAAACAACAGAAACAAGTCCTGAAGGGAACTGCGTGGATACTGATGTTCCAGGTTTTGCACATTTCGTTCTGATCCTGAGGCTTGGGAAAGCACGCGGACGATCCCCAGAATCCGGGGAAGTGCTACTGTGCACGGATATATGGCGAGCGAGACTTCAGAGCGTTCGGCTACCTCTCAGTCCTCAAGGCACCTTACACGGACGACCGGATCAAGAAGCACTGGGAGAAAGCCGCTGCAATGAACGCGGTCCCCATCCGTCAAGACGCAGCCGATGAAGAGAAGGAAGAAGCCACGAAGAGAGCTGAAGAGCAGTGGGAGAAGATGGGCCGCACGGCCTCCTGGGGATGTACCTGGTACAAGCGCTGGTTCGACCTGGTGTGCACGGCGGTTGAGAAGAAGCAGCGGCTGAAGGCAGTCTTCTTTCCCCGCCAGGCGGGAGCAGCACGACAGAGCACGTGTCACTCCGAAATCGTTCTTGAAATTGAAGATGAATATATACTGTAAAGGTTCCATATTATAGCGAAAGTATAATGGGCCCCAAAACCCTATTCTAATCATTCAGGCCCCTACAGTACTCAGCCTCTGCTGCCCTGCCAGGTGGGCTACGGCGTTCCCCGCATGGAGGACCCTAAACCCTAAACCCTAAACTCTAAACCCTAAACCCTAAACCCTAAACCCTAAAACCGAGGACCTCTCCAACGGCGAGGTTGACCTCTGGGATGGGGAGCCCCGGACGGACTTATTTGGCTTTAGGCTTGAGGGTTTTAGGGGGGGGGTTAGGACGTACTTGGGTTTAGGGGTTTAGGGCTTAGGTTCAGGGGTTTAGGGTTTAGGGTTTTGGGGTTTGGGGTTTAGGGATTAGGGGTTTAGGGTTTTAGGGGTGGTTGTGATTGAAGGTATAGCTTTGATGTTCCACCTTAAACCCTAAACCCTGATTCCAAGCTGAGTCTCATCTCATTGCTTGGAGGGTTGAGGATTTTCGGCTCGGGGCTGCACTTGTTCTTCCGTTCGGTTTGGGTTCCACGGCAGCGTAAACTGCCGCCCTGAAATAGTGCCCCCGCCTGGGCCACGAACATGGGTGAAATAGCTGCCCAGAGCCACGCTAGCCTTCTCCAAACACAAGCTGTGCAGTACTTACCTCACCTATAGTTACAATGGAACCTTCGGAGAACACTGTCATGGCCTACCAACTAGACAGCCGAGTTTGGGTGTGGCGGCTCGCAGAAAGCCGAGCTGGCAACGGCGAACCTCATGCAGAAGCAGCATTCCGGATGGCGCTATGAGGAGGTGGATGTCACGGCATTTCTCAAAGATGAGTTTCCACCGGGTGCCCAAGTAGATGCCTTGCATGAGACCGAAGCTGATGTCAGATGGCGCAAGGGCATCGTGGTGAAGCAGATGGAAAAAGTGACAAAAACCGAGTCTGGTGAGGAGTCCACTGAGTTCTCCTGGCAGATCAAGTCTGACGACGACTCTGGGGATTCTCGGATGCCTTGGAAGTGAGTTCTGTCGGCTGTTGTAGCGGAAGGATCGGCCAGAAGAGTTGCGTTGGAACCGAAAACCACGAAGGACATGTTTGAGGCCAGCCAAGTCCGACACCTCAACGTGGCGGTTGAGCAGCTGCTGCACCGTTGGGGCATCGGCCTGAGATGACTTGATTAAGCATAACTTTCTCAAAGAATGCAGCTTTGCTGTACCGGTTGCCCTATTGCCCTCAAAAACGCACTGCATCCTGCGCAGACAAGTCTGCGCCAAAAACCGCATCGCCCGAACTCTCAACAACCCCAGCTCCTTGGCGTAACTCGGTAAGAGTCTCAAGTCCGAACTTAAAAGCTCCATGGCTTCTGCCCCGAAGCTTTGCCTGCCGGAAGATCCGGTCAGGGCACAGGCATGGACTTGTTGCGTTTGGGGAGAGGGTTTAGGGTTTAGGGCTAGCGGTGCTAAGACAGGAGGGTGTGCGACATGTAGTGCTGAATACACTGTTCCGCAGAGTAGCTTCTACAGGGTTCTATCCAGTCTCATGCTGACTAAGGGGACGTCCTGGAGCCCGCCTTGCGCCAATGCCTGGCGGATATAGGACTGCGACATCCCACCGCCTGCCGTCTCCGCAGCGGCACCCCGGCGCTGAGCATCGTCATTCAGATTCCCAATGTCGAGGCGCTCCTCGCGCTGAGAGATCGCGTCTTGAGCGGCGAGTTCGATCAGAGCGTCAACGAAGGCCTCGCTAGCGGGGCTCCAGAGCCTTTGTCCAAATGAGTCCATCGTCTCTCGTTGCGTGTGTCTTGGGGCTTCTTGCTAATGTAGGAACCTGATGAAGAAACCCAGGGCCTAAAAACCCCCCAATAGTAGGATTCATATGAGGAACCCAAATGAAGGCCCAAGATTTCTTAATCAGGTTTCTACATTAGAGTGTACTGGTACCCAGACGATCCTTGCAATACAGACAGCCAATGATAGCCAGAGCTCAGGAGTTCAAGGTGAAGTTCGACAAGAGCCGGCTCTTCGAGCTCTACGAGGATAGCCTCCTGGGATTGTCGGAGTTGACCGAGCATCAGCAGGTGGCTGACCGGAGGGCTTGAGAAGTGTAGCCGCCGGAGTGGTGAACCCTCTCCTCTCTCCCTCAAGGAGGTGTTGAAGCCAGTAGCCTCGGTGTAGGGTTTTTAGGTTTTTGCGGCATGTTGCAAAGTACGATCCAGGTGAAGCTGAAAGAGATGGAGGGCCTTGACGACGTTCATCTTTCTGCCCCGGCGGGTGCAGGAAAGACCTTCGTCGCGGTGCAGCACGTGCTCGAGCATCTCAACACACATCCCTCAGCCCGTCTCTGGGTTCTTCTTAAGGAGTTTGTTTTAAGTTACCATAATAGGGATCTATAGTAGATAGTATCCCTAAACCCTAAACCGAACCCAGGTCTGCTCTACGTCGCTCCCTCCGAAAGCCTCGGTCTCCACTTCATTCGCTGGCTCTCTGTGCGACTTGCCTCGCGAACCTCGGCGCAGAAACTAATGTAGTATAGTATAGTATAGTATAGTATAGTATAGTGAAGTAAAATATAGTACAGTATAATATAGCATAATATCAGTGTAGTATAATGTTATAACTGAGGAAAGAATCACAGCGAGCCGGCGCTAGTGCAAAGCAGGATCCAGCAGGTGCTCTCCAGAATCATTTTGCTGCACAGCCCCTTCAAACACTTCCAGCTGCCGTCTCTGGACGGTGATCACATACTCCGACGTGTGGCCGAACCCGGCGCAGAGCCGTGTGACATGGTTGTCTACGATGAAAGCCACCACATCTTCTCTCTTCCGCCTGAAGTCGCCTGGCCATCCACAGGAGTACCACTGGCCGTCTGCGCGTTTTTTGGTTTGGATTTCTTGCTTCGCTCCAAAATAGCAGGTCAAGCCCTGAAGCATCGCACCAAGCCGTCGGAAATGCGTGCAACACTTAGGAAATGAGCTCGACGCTACTCCCAAGCCTATCGGCAAAGCGCCGACTGCTTCTGTCAGATGAGTCGCAATCTGCTTCGGTAAGCCAGAGCTTCGGACTGCGTCCAGAGCCTAAGCCCTCAACCCTAAACCCTTGATCCTAAACTCTATACCCTAAGTCCTTAACCCTGAAATCCCGAAAAGCCCTAAACTCTAAAACCTCAAAAAATAGGAGTAAGGTCATGCTTCTACGCCAGCCCAAACCCTAGATCCACATGATCCCATGATCCCAGAGACAACTCAAGCAGAGCAGCTCTCTTGCCTCCTGCTTTCCATTGCTGCCGGCATTGCCACCACCGCAATCCCTTAGTAGCTGAGTGGATACACTTTTTGGGATGATATTACCCACTATAAAACTGAAAGTGTACCCTTTTGGGGGCTTATGAACTCAGCAACTAAGACAGCGTCAGGAGCCCTAAGCCCCCCCAACCCAAAACCCTAAGCCCTCAACTTTTTAGGGGTTTAGGGTTTAGGTTTTAGGGTTTAGGGTTTAGGTTTTAGGGTTTAGGGTTTAGGGTTTAGGGTGGGCCCTCAACCCAAAACTCCAAGCCCTCAACCCTATACCTAGAGCCAAGGACCTATCCCGACATGGCCAGATACCCTTAATATAGCGATTATATACCCATTATATCGCCCATTGTGGGGTAGGGGGCCCCATTAAGGGTCCCTCCTTTTCCCCTTTGACATCTGAACCCTTAAACCCTAAACCCTACACTCTAAACCCTAAACCCTATAGCCAAGGACCTATCCCGACATGGCCAGGGTGAATCTTTCCGAGGTGGTCCGCAGCACTAAGCGCATTGTCGCAGGCGCAGCCACGTCTCCTGCCTTGCACATGGGCGGTTGTCAAAATTAGGGTCGCTTTTTGGGTACCCTAAATATTCGGTGCCGTACTACATTCGGGACCCAAAAAGGGATCATAATTTTGACAACCACCCACATGGCATGTCGAAAGAGGGAGCTTAAGTGTGCAGGCATCTGGGAGCCCGCAAATCCAAGAGTGCATGTTGTTGTGCACAGTATATCCTCATAATACCCCTGAAAGTAACTCTTTAGAACCCGAAGCCCCTGAGCCCCCAAACCCCTAACCCCTCAGCCCCCTAAGCCCAAAGCCCTGCATCCAAGGTTTCAGCTGAACGCGAAGGGAGAGGACCCTGCGAGTTCTTTGGGCTCCGACGGACCGCCCCTGAAGACCTTCCTGTTCGACCCAGCAGCTCAGATGCTCTTGCGCTCTGGGTTTGTGTTGCTTACGCACATCTTAACACCCCAGTCATGCAATATATATATATATATATATATATACAGTATACACATGTACGTAGAGAATATATGTATATATATATATGTACCTGTATAGATAGGGTTTCGATGCGGCCAACGAGGTGGGGGAGGACTTGCCGAAGGCGTATGCAGAGCATATCATCAAAGCACTCTGGCATGTGGCAAAGACGCTTGGCTTCCCCTCTCTTGATTCCCAGAGAGCCCAATACCCCTTAATTAAAGGAATATAACTTAAATCATCATATGAAGATTAAATAAGCAGTATTGGACTCTCTGGATTAGTACAGGGACCTGAATAATGATTGAGGCACCGTTTTGGATGGTTTCTACAAGGGCTTGCAGGGTTCCTGTTAAAGGGGTCTAGGAGAATTGCTAGAAGGAGCCTTTGGTAGGGTTCTATAGTATAGGGGCCTAAAAATTTACCTATCCCTTTTTGGGGGTGCCTTGGTATGATGATAGTATACTGGGCCCCCCAAACCCTATTCTAGTTATTAAGGCCCCTAGACTAGATCAGTTGGAGTCTTGGCCCGGGTCTCCTCCAAGATACAAGCAGGCCTAAGCTTTTTCCATGCCTTTGTGGGCTAAAGATCCCAGGGTTCAGGGTCTAGGGGACTGCTATATCTCTCAATGCAGGAATGTGCCTTCACACGTAGTAGGATCCCAAATATGATGTAAGGTATATTCCTTAATTAAGGGATATTAGAATCCCCTAAACCCTAAACCCTATAGATCCCTTAGAGGAACCCTAGGGATATTGGAGTCCCCTAAACCCTAAACCCTATAGATCCCTTATAGATCCCTTAAAGGAACCCTAGGGATCTTGGAGTCACTGGGTCCCAGGACGTTCCCTGACATCAGCTTACATGGGCGTGTCGCCGTCCTCGTTCCAGACTCCGACATCTGCAACTGGGCTTTGGAGTACCATACTTTAATACTTTTTTCTTAATGGAACCATGATGAAATAGAAGTTTATACTTTTTCTCCCTGGTTACTTAAAAGCCCAGGCAAGAGGATCAAACGAGTCTTAGAGAAAGACTTGCAGCTGGGCTGCTATCACTGGGTCCTTGTTTAAATTACCTGAGGTCAGGGCTTCCCTAAACCCTAAACCCCGACCCCTAAACCCCGAACCCTCAACCCTAAACCGTAAAGACCCTAAACTTAAGACATTGATTCCTGGCAAGCTCTGATGTGGTTGACAGAAATTTTTCTGTGAAGACTTTGTGTTTCCTACTGCAGGAATCTGTGAATGCTTTGTGAAGAAAGAGTGATTCCCGAAATCAAGGCCTGCAGAATCTGTGAAGAATTTGAGGGTGATGTTTAAAAATTTTGTTTATATGTTGCTTCAGAAGAGGCGTGAATCCTTGGATGGCATGTGCCATATCTGTGAATCCTTGGAGGACTTGTGTCGCCCAGCTGCGCGTCAGGTCCACAGCAAGTCCACCAAGACCTAGGCCGTAGGCCATACTGAGCTGGCAGCTAGCAGCTAGAATTCATCCCGGGAATCACTCTTTTGCAAAGAGGACCTGTGATTCGGCAAAGACTGATTCCGGAGGTTTCAGGAATCAGGCGTGGCCAATTCTGTAAACGGGCCACAAATACTTCGCAAAGTCTTCGCAGATTATGTTACACTGGAATCACAACTAACTCACAAAAAGCTCGCACATCCGAAGACACCCGGAAACACAAGACTCGCACATTTTGCGCGAAAGTTTCACAGATCCTCGATTCCCCAGTCACCGCCAGATTCAAAAAATCCATCACAGAAATATTTTTCACAAGGCTTGGCAGGGGCTCCAGAATATAACCCTAAGCCCTAAAGGCCCCAAAGACCCTAAACCCTAAACCCTAAACCCTAAACCCTAGATCCAAAGCCCTAGAGACCCCTAAACCCCACTCCACAAGCTCTCCCAGGAGCCGCGAGTTCCCGCATCGCTCCCTGCGCCTTGTGACCTTCGAAGAGTCCCTGAGCTGCTTGCCGGAGCGTCTGCTCGGCCGAAGCAAGCAGGCACACACACACGCATACACAAATGTATATATATATATATATATATATATATGTATGTACATATATATATATATATATATATATGTACATACATATATGTATTATACATATATATATATATATATATATAGAGGTACATATATATATATATATATGTATAGATGCACATGTATGTAAAGACTACGTGCACGCAAAAATCTCTCCCTCTCTGTATATGTTCATATATATATATATACACAATCACACTTATGTATACGCTTACTGCTTACATCTACATCAATATATCTATACATGCACATCATTTTTTCACTTTTTGCGTTCAGAGGCACAGAATCCAAGTCGGACGCAGCCGAACAAAACATGCGCATAATTAAATGTTTGCGATTTTGATTGCACGGGGGTTGGGGGCCCGGCGCGCTCTAAAGAAGCAACGCGCAAAGCGTCTCAGACGCAGGAAGGCGTCTCAGGCGTCTTAAGCGTCTCCAGCGTCTCAAGCATCTCTAGCGTCTCAAGCAAGCGTTTTTTGTTTTTGTTTTTGGTTTTTAGCGTTTTTACAGTTTTCGCGTTTCGAGTTGTTAGTGTTTTTAGCGTTTTTTAGAGTTTTTTTGTCTTTTTCGTGTTGTTCATGTTTTTAGCGTTTTTCGTGTTTTCGTGTTTTTCGCGCTTTTCGCGTTTGCGCGTTTCTTTGGCGCTTTTCACACAAATTGTTATTGCCATTACTATTACTATTAGCTGCCCCCCCGAAAGATCCATGCTTTTTTACTCTTTGGTGTGCTTTTACGGCTTGCGCAGTCTACCAACGACGTCAGGCCTCGTGCGACTGCCTAGGTATATAAACGTGTGTGTCTATATAAACATGCTACCTTATATATATATATATATATGTATGTATATATATATATATATATATATGCCACCACCACCCTCCGCCCCCACCCCGCGAAATACCAACAGACCCATGCATTTCGACCTGTTCGCAGCAGCTGCCGCTGCTATTGTGCCTGCTCCTACTACTGCCATTGAGATGGTAACCCCCCCCAGGAGCAATCTCGGCCATGTAACTGCTGTGTCGTTGCAGCTGCCAGTAGGAGCCCAAAACACTGTAAATACCATTAGATTCTGATCGATTCTTTGCGCCTACTGTTTATGCGCGTCATAACACGGTACTCAAGTTTGAAAACAAGTACCAGTTTCGTGGCTCTGTTTCTTGTCGTGGCATATGCTCCAGCTACTACTACTTACGACTGCTTACGACTACTTACTAGTACTTACTACTACTTACTCCTACTTACTGCTACTTACTGCTACTTATAACAAGAACAACAACAACTACTACTACTACTGCTACTTCTACTACTACTACTACTACTACTACTACTACTACTAATACTAATACTGTAATACTACTAATACTAATACTACTAGTACTACTATTAAACTGCTACTGTTACTACGACTACTGCTGCTGCTTCTACTAATGCTGCTGTTATAAATACTCGTGCTACGATTACTGTTTCTACTAAATCTTAATCTTCACCACATTACTCTTAAATTAATGTTGGTTCATGGTATTATATAAATTCCTACCACTTTTCAAGTCTCATCAAGATGGTTTGTATCAAACCACCGCGAGAGTCATAACACTACTGCTGCTGTTACTACTACGACTACTGCTACTACTACTACTACTACTACTACTACTACTACTGCGGCTACCAGACACAGGCCTTTCAAAATTGTGAAGGAGTTAAGGGCCCTTTTAAAAATTCAAAAGGCCCTTTAAATCAAAAATTTAAAAGGCCACATAAACATTTAAGGAATTTGAAGGCCTTTGAAGACTTTAAAGAGCCTTCTAAAAATTTAAAGGGCTCTCTTAAACATTTAAACCGCCCTTTGAAAATTTAAACGGCCCTTTGAAATTGTAAAGGGCGCTTTAACATTTTAACAGGACCCTTAGATTCTATCCAGTTCTGAAAAATCCGAAAAATTTTTGAAAGAAACTAAATTATATTGGGCGAGGCGCGGCCCATTTAGAATTTTAAAAATCTTTAAAACCCTTCAAACAATTTTGAAAGCACCGTGTCTGGTTTTCAACATGTTCAGGTGATGAGAGCATTTGAGCGCCTTCCCACATTAATGAATCTTAAGTTTTTTAAGGGTTCTTAAGATTTTAAAAGTGCCGCACAAATCATGAAGGATTATTCATCTTCCCCTGGATTTGTTTTCCCTTGGGATTTCAACCGAAAACTTTGAAAAATCAATCCCCCCAATTTCCTTGAGTTGGAGCCCCATTCCCTTCAAATTGTTGGGTATTGACGTGCGTACTTTAATTTTTTTCCCCTGACTTTTTTTGACCCCCTTCGATTCCTTTGGTATCTTCGCCGACGTCTTCGCTTCCTTCCGTTTTTTTCCAAGGGAACCCCTTTTGTTCCCCTTGAACCTCCAAATCCCAAAATGATCCCCCGACCGAGGGGAAACAGATCATTATAATTACCTCCAAAGGCCTTGCTTGCTTACTTACGAAATGGTGTGGTTTGCGTTATATTGCATTGCACAAGAGGGCTGGAGTCATGTGTGCTGGTAGCCATGTAAAGGAGGGTTTCTTATCACTTTGCTTGCGCATAACTGATATGGGCAATCTTTGCCTTCCAGAGCTAGCTTTCCGACCGACCAGTCAGGCAATTCTCGGGCGCAGTGTACTCCAAGCGCCTGCATTAATAACCCGTGCTACATATGAAGCTCCCTTTTTCAATCGACAAAGCGAAGCAAATTCATACGAATTTGCTGAACCAAGGGATCTTGCCTGCACAGGACCTGGGCGTTTGCTCTTCGAAGGATGGGCTTAGAAGCCCAATTCTCCAATCTGATGTGGTGGAGAGGGTTTTTGAAGCCAACCAATCCAAAACTTAAATAAGATTGAGTCTCTAATCTAGAGGCGCAGGTATGGCAGTTGTGCTGACAGTTAGTTCTTCACAGGGTCTACGAAGTATCTGCATGTTCGACATGCAGCGGATCTTGGAGCCTTGGCAGTTTGCGAAGAGAGAAAACCACAGGTCAATCGGTTCAATTGTGCAGTGTGCAGCCTGCTGTGCGCGAGCTACATATGCCAAAACTGTTGGTGGAGTTACACGCCTGACGTGGCAAGTGTATTTGTAGCCACTGCAGTAGCTGCCTGCCATAGCATTTTGGGTTTTTTCCGCGCGTCTCCGTTCCTAGCTTGTGTCC